CCAATCCTACTATGTCTTCTAGTTCCTTTCCTTTTCCTCATAGTTCCTTCAACATCCCAGCTCCTGATCTTCTTCTTACCCCTTTGCCCCCTTTCCAGGAAACCAGAGTTCTGGAGCCAGGATGAAGTAGAGCAAGCTGGACGCCTAGTGTTTACTCTGTCTACTGAGGCGATTTCCTTGATCCCTAGGGTGAGGTGAAGGAACAAGGGAGGGAGTAAGAACAGAGAAAGGGGACTGGTGAGCTGGTTCTGGAAAGTAAAGACCAAGGAGGTTGAGGGCAGAGATTGTGAAGCCCAGATTTGGGGGAGACTTAAAAAGAGACAAGACTTTGGAATTAGAGCTGCAGCCGTTGGCCCTGACCTTCCCAGGTCTCCCCATCTCCCTTCTACTTTCCCACACAGGAGGCCTTGGGCCCAGAGTCCCTGGAGCGTCTCCTAGAGAAACAGCAGAGCTGGGAACGGAGCAGAGCTGGACAGCTGTGTGGGGGGCCACAGCTTGCTCCCAAGAAAGCAGCTTTGGTAGCTGGAATTGTACGGCCCGCTGCAGACTTTCTCCCAGGTGAAACTCCCCAAATACTCACGCTTCTGGCAGGGTGAACAGGAAAGAGTATACAACAATGCAATCAGAAGTCAGCCTAGGACACCTCCTGTCCTATTCTCTTACCCCTGTTAACAGCTGACTCAGCTCTCGGCTTGGCTAAGTGTGGAGCTCTCTGCTGGGAAAATGTTTAGGATATAGGAAGGAGCTCCTGTGGGGCTAGGGACCTGGGTTCTAATCTAGATCTGCCATTAAATCCTTAGGCAGCACCCTCAATCTTCCATCTATACAGTGAAGGGATTGTTTTCTCCAGGCACTTGTTCTGATATCCTGTGTGTCTTATACATCTCTCACTATAGTAATCCCTTGCCTCATAGTGCTCACACTGACCAAAGTTTGGAGGGGTCATTCCATCTATAGGTAGCTTTCTATAAAATAGTATCATATTTTAATACTACACTGACCCAGGCCCTACCTTCCCCCTTTAGAACCTGTGCCAAATTGTGCAGATGTACGGGGGACATTTCCGGCAGCTTGGTCTGCAACTCAGATTGCAGAGATGGAGCTCTCAGACTTCGAGGACTGCCTAGCACTCTTTGCAGGAGACCGGGGACTTGGGCCTGAGGAACTACGGGCAGCAATGAGCATGGCAAAACAGGTTAAGGATGGGAGACCAGTGGGGTTGGAGATGAAAAAATGTGAGAAAGCTGGTTGGGTGTGGTGCAGGACAGAAGTGAATGGATGCTGGGATGAGAGGTTGGGGAATAGAGATCAAAGGATTAAAGGGTTTGGTACATATATCAATGGAATATTACTTGGCCATAAAAAGAATAAAATCTTGCCTTTTGTGACAACATGGATGACCTAAAGGGCATTGTGCTAAGTAAACAAGTCAAACAGAGAAAGACACATGCCATATGATTTTACTTATATGTGGAATCTAAAAAGTAAAATAAATAAACTAACAAACCAAGCAAACTCATAGATACAGAGAGCAAGTTGATGGTCCTCAGATGGGTGTGTGGAGGGGAGTAGGAAGACAAGTGAAAAAGGTTGAAGGGATTAAGAAGTACAAATTGCCAGTTACAAAAATAGTCACAGGGATATAAAGTACAGTATAGGGAATATAGTCAATAATATTGTAATAACTGTGTATGGTGGCAGATGGATACCAGACTTATCTGGGTGACCACTTTGCAAGTTATATAAATGTCTAATCATGTTGTGCACATGAAACTAATATAGTATTGTATGTCAACTGTAATTGAATTTTTTTTTTTAAGTTTTGCCTCTCCCATCCCCCTGTCCCCAAAAAGGAGGGTTTGGCTCTTGAGTAGAAAGTCAGAGGAGATGAATATTGAGGAAAGAAGACTAATGCAATTGGGTAGAGGGACTAGAGCAGTGGTTACCAAACTTCAGTGTGTGTTAAAGGCATCTGGGGTGCAGGTGCTTGAGATGTTGATGCCAGGGTCCCATGCTAGAATCACTGAGGATGGGTCTGGGCATCTGCATCTTAACAGAATCCCTGGTGAGTCTGGTGCATATAACAGTTTAGAACTCATGGGCTGGAGTCTGCTATTTTTCTACTGAGACTCTAGAATCTTCCAGTAACAGCTTAGTCAGAGGAACTTTATTCCAACCTTTTCATTTTATAGTTGAGGAAACTAAGACACAGAGAAGTCTTGTGATTTGCCTTGTCTTACACAGCTAAGGTCAGAGGCAAGACTAAGACCCAGCATTCGGACTCCTAGTTCTCCGCTTTTTCCACTCACATTGTTCCTCTCTTTCTCCATAGTTGTGGGGTCCCCCGCGAGGATTTCGTCCTGAGCAAATCCTGCAGCTAGGTCGGCTCTTAATAGGTCTAGGAGAGCGGGAACTACAGGAGCTAATCCTGGTGGACTGGGCAGTGCTGAGCACCCTGGGGCAAATAGATGGCTGGAGCTCAGCCCAGGTAACACCTTTCTTCCTTCCTATCACCTTCCAGGCACTCATCCTACAGGCCAGGCCTCTAGGTTATTTAAAGCCCAAGAATTTTTTCCTGTGACTATGAAAGGCCATTCTTTCTATCTTTTCTTAATACTCCATACTAGTAGCCTTGGAAACGCTGTGATTTATTCACTCTGAGGTCCTGGACACATAGTATTCCCTGCTGCCTCTTTTCCCTCTTTTTCTGGGTCCTCAACCTTACTCATGGCTGTTGGATCTTCAGGTCTTCTTTACTTATTATTTTAAAAAAATCTTTATTGTTGGAATTATTACATATGTTCCCTTTTCCCCCCATTGACCCTCTCCAGCCTGCCCCCATTCCCCACCCCAGACCTTCCCCACCCTATTTGTCTGTGTCCATGGATTATGCATGTATACATACAAGGTCTTTGGTTGATTACCTCCCACCCACTCACCCTCCCCCACCTTCCCCTCAAGATTCTGCACTCTGTTCCATGCTTCCATGTCTCTGGATCCACTCGGTTCTTCAGTTTATTTTGTTGGATCTTCAGGTCTTAATAATGCAAGAATATACAGACCCAGAGATAAGGAGGTCAGACCGTTGGACCTCAAAGGGGGGGTGGGGATAAAAGGGAGAGATCAACCAAAGGACTTACGTGCACGCATATGAGCCTAACCAGTGGTCAAGGACAATAGGGGGGGTGGGAGCATGAGTGGGGGTGGGGGTGGGAGATTGGAAAGGGGGTTGAAGACAAATATGTGATATCTTAATCAATAAAGAAATTTAAAAAAATAAAAAATAATAATAAATAAACAAATAAATAAAAATCCGACGAGGATTAATAAAATAAAAAATAAAAAAGAATATAATCTAGTAGCACTTATCACTTCCCCATCCATTGATTCTCCATGAATTCTCTCATCCTATGCCCTCCACCCCCACCCCAGCTCCGAGTTGTGGTCTCCAGTTTCCTGCGGCAGAGCGGCCGACACATGAGCAACCTGGACTTCCTTCACCTGACTGCACTGGGTTACACTCTCTGTGGACTTCGACCAGAGGAACTACAGCATATCAACAGTTGGGAATTTAGGTCACCTGTGGAGGGAGGGTTGTGGGTGGTGATGCTGAGGTAAAGGTGGGCTCACTGGGGGAGGGAAGGATCACAAAGAAGTGGAGGAAGGGACCTCACCTGAAGCCATCTCTATTCAGATCATCATAGCTGAATCTTTCTCCCTTCTCCTCACTCTTCCACAGCCAAGCAGCTCTCTTCCTGGGCCACCTGCGTTTCCAGTGCTCTGAGGACCAACTGGAGGTTCTGGCCAAACTCCTTGTGCTGCCTGGTGGTTTTGGCCCAGTCAGTAACTGGGGGCCTGAGATCTTCACTGAAATTGGTACAATAGCAGGTACGGAGGCTGGGTCACTGCTGGTGCTTGTTGTCAGATGTTGGTTTCCATCCCATGGGTGGAGGACTGCTCTGGAATTCTCAAGGTGGGAGTCTGGGAGTTTAGGTAAGAGGTTGGTGATGTGTTGGGGAAGGTCTATGGTTGGAAGAAGTCTATAAGTTTGAAGAGAAGGGAAGAGGCCAATCTAAGACAACTTTTGGATGCCCATCCCACTTGCTTCAACAGCTGGGATCCCAGACCTGGCCCTTTCAGCACTGCTGCGGGAACAAATTCAGGGCCTTACCCCTCTTGCCATTTCTGTCATCCCTGCTCCTAAATTTGCTGTAAGTATTGATGGATTGGAGTGACCACAAGAGAAGCAGAGCCCAACACAGGATACACTGGATATACTGATTCCTGCTTCCAACCCCAGGTGGTGTTCAGCCCCACCCAGCTATCTAGTCTCACCAGTGTTCAGGCCGTGGCTGTGACTCCTGAACAAATGGCCTTTCTGAGTCCTGAGCAGCGACGTGCAGTTGCATGGGCCCAGCATGAGGGGATGGAAAGCCCAGAACAGCAAGGTGAGTTCTCAACTGCACAGCTTGACCCTTTTCATTTCCTAACCCAGAATCTGACCCCTAGTTAGGTGCTATCTGTCTTAGAACCAACCCAAGAAGATCCCTGGAGTGAAGGGGTATATAGACAGATAGTTTACAAGTATCAATAGCTCCTGGGGAGCATAATTGTGACATTCCTTCCATTCTCTGTCTTATCGTAGGTCGAAGCACAGCCTGCGGCTTCCAGAACTGGTCACAGCCTTCCTGGATCTTAGCATTAGCCATCTGCTTCCTTGGCAACCTGTTATGAACCTGTCTCTGCAGTTAAAGAGTGACTGTTGGGAAAGAAATCTTAAGCCATAGTGAATAAAGCGAAAATGGATTTATATTCTAATTACTTTCAGAAAGCTGATAAGGAACATGGGTCAAATGGGAATGCTTTCCACCCTGCTGAGAATTAGTGTTCCTGGCATGCCGTGTCTGGAGTTTCTTTCCATCATAAATAACCCCATTGCCTCTCTTTCTTTCATGGAGGCTGCTCCCTCCTCTCCCCATCATTAGGAAAAACACAGACAGTTGGAGCATAGCAAGGTGTCTTTACTGGGACACAGGAAGTGGGGGGCATCCAGGCAAGTAGGATAGGCCACCATTAGACTGGGCGGAAGTCCTGGGGATCTTGAGTCATCTGCTGAGGATGGGGAGTTAATGCTTGTTGTGGATGAGAGGCGGAGGGATGCGGATATCCTGGCCTCTCTCCAGACGCCGCTCACAGTCAATCAAATAGTTTACTCCATCGATGACCAGTTGCACCAGCTCCACCTAACGGACACGAACCCTTGATCTCTGCTTCCCACCACCTGAGTCTCCTTCTTTAGCACTGATTTGCCTGCTTTGAGAACTCATTTCCAATTGCCTCCCCACTCAACCTGATTCTTAATTAGATTCTATGAAATTCCTGAGACTCACTCACTGTTATATCTCAACCCAACCCCCACAGATTTATACCTCCCCTCACCCTGATCCCTGAAGATCTCACCTCTGACTTGCCCAGACGGTCTAAATTAGAGATGTCAAAGGTACTGCCTGTGGCAGCTGTGTCCACTCCTCCAGTACCACGCTTTTGGAGTCTTAGGTTCTCCAGAATCTTTGGGAAGCGGTTATCCTGGAAGGAAGATAGGGATTGGGAGCAGGGTGAATAGAGACAAAGATTGGTTCTACCTGAGAGGACCCTGAACCTGTTTAGAGCTCTTTCCCAATGTGTCTGATTCCTCTCCAAAGCGCCCACTGCCTCATCCACACACAGCACCTTCCTCACTCACACGCCTCTCTAATCCCACAACTCCTTTACTTTGCTTAGCAGCGGCAGTTTGATGTGTACTCCTGCTCGTAGTCCAGTGCCCAGGTTAGATGGACAGGTCAAGATGTATCCCAAACGCTCATTCCACATGAACTCCCAGCCACGCTCCTGGATCAGCCGCTCCACCTGTGTTCACAAAGGCTTTGTTAGTGAAAAGTCAGGAATACGTGAACACTCCCGTAGCTAGACTCACAGGACTCTAGAAATATGGGACCAGAAACTTGGGATGTGAAAGAATGACCCTGTTCGGGATTTTGTGTTGTTTGCTTTGCAGAAATGGTTTGTTATTATCTTGCGTATAAGGTAAGCCCATAATCATGAGATTGCAGAAAAGTACCTTGTGTGTTGAAGGAGAGAAACTGGAGGGAATGATGCATTAAGGATGGTCCACAGGTGTTCAACTGAACTGAGGAAGAATTGATTATTCAATGAGCTCTGCATACATTATCTTTGTTTTGCTAATGAGCCTAGAACTTGGGAGGATTCTTTCAGACAGAAAAAGAAAATGTAGGCTTTGCAACAGCAAGAGGCAAGAGAGCCTTCTGTTGGCTGTGGAAGACAAAAAGTGTAGAAGGGCCAGACTTACAGGTATGTGTGTGTGCCAGGTAGTGTTAGGGTGTTTTTGTTTTACTTAAATGTTCTAGTCATGAAGATAACCATTACAGTTGAAGAGACGTGATCCACCAGAGTGGTGGGCGTTAACACCACCACCTAACATGAGCAGTGGGGACCCTGTTTATCGTTCAGAAAGAATCATGGCAGCAGGGGATGTTTACATGCTGAACACAGGGAAACCCTTCCATCTAGAATAACAACAGCAGCTAAAACTTATTGAACATTTACTATGGGCTAGGTATTTTACATGCATTATCTCATTTAATCCCCACAACAACCTAAAATGTAGGAAGTCTTATTATCTCAATTTTATAGATGAGGAAACTGAGGTAGATAATTTAAAAAGTACTTCCCTACCCACTAATCAGAATGTTATCTATTACTTGACAAAAAAAACACACACACACAAACAAACAAACAAACAAAAAAAACCAGCAGAAATTTCCCAGCTAGAATATAAAAAGAAGAAGAGCTCTCAATAAGTCCAAACTAGAACTGTATAACATATAAGAACATACATAAGAACATACAATAAGAATTGGATTTATAGGAATTCCTAATCTAGAATTGAATATGGAAACCCATTCCACATAGGATTGAGAATTCAGTTAAACCCTTCATGTAGAGCCACATATTCTGAAACTTCTTAAGCCAGTTGATCCTCCACCTTCTCTCCATCTCCCTCTCCCTCTCAGTTTAAAACTTGGACATGATACTTTAGCAGGAATGACAGAATCCAAAGGCGAGGCCTACCTCAGCTCAGAACTGAGTGGTTACATTAGAATCATGAACACACCAATCTCTTGTTCCATACATCAATCCAGGCTCAAACCTTTTCCTTATCTGCACATCCCACACCACACACCCCAGGCACTGACCCACCATCTATTATTTTTTCTTCAGATTATCTGATAACGCCTTTGTTTATTTTTTTTAGATTCTTGTCATTGTCTTCCTAGTCTTAGGGTGACCATATATCCTGGTTTCCCTTGGACAGCTTTGATCTATACCTGTTGTCCTGGAGTAAATGATGGTGATCTTTTACTATAAGAAGTGTCCTGGGTTGGTTGATAACTTAAATGGTGAATCTACATGGGCTAGCATTTTGTTTTTTCTTATGTTCCCCCCACCTATTTCCCTTATACACTCTTGTCCAACCTCTTTGAGGCCTCGGCAGAATCTTTCAAACACTTTCTTCATATTGCCACCCTTCTCCATGGAGATGACCCGGGTATGATCCTCCTCATTCACCCAGATTAAGAAGCTCTTCTCATTGTTATGCCTGAAGGCAGGAGAGAAGGAAGGACAGAGGTCAATAGTCAGGGCAAGAATGAGGGTGAGGTAGAAGGGCAAAAGGCATTTATAGGGACATGGTGACAAAAGAGATAAGATAAGCCTCATACCAGATCCCACGAGCATCTGGCCAGTCTCGAGCCATTCCTGCCGCAGTCAGCAATGGGGATACAGGCTTATCAAATAGGAAGTGGTCCTGGGGAGATAACGGGACTTGGCCTAAGAAATCTTTCAGTAGCCCCTAGGCCTCTCAAAGCCCATCTATCCCTTCTGGCCCAGCCTGCCCTCTGACTCCTTCCCATCTGGTCCCCCCACACCGAGCACTCTCTCCAGGCCCCTCACATCAATAAGCTGCTGCTGCTCAGCCTCTGTCATTTCACTGAGCCGATAGTAACGACCAGCCAGGTCACCCTTCAGGCCACTCAGTGCGTCCACCACAACACGTTCCACCTCTCGCCGCTCTGCCCGAGTGCAAGCTGGAGGCAGACTGAGTCCCCGGATACTTCGGCCAGTTCTGACTCTCGAGGACAATACATACCTCTCATCAAAGTAGCCAGAACGGATCTGTGGAATAAGAGAAATTAATATAGGTCACAAGCACAATAGGTGGGAACAGAGGGCCTTGGAGAAGAACAGATGCCTGACGTTCTCTTCCTAGTCTTCGGGTGACCAGACAGAGGAGTCCTCGTTGCATGCCTTGGAAGGAGACGTCCATTGGGCAAGCAGTGCAACTGAAGCGGGCATTATGACCCCTCCCCCAGACTGCCCACCCTGCAGTATGGTCATTCTCAAGCACCCTCTCTTCTTCATGTCTGCTGCTTAAAGCACAATCCTTTCCCCACACCAAGAATGAAAAGCTCAGCAGTATAACGACCACAAGTCAAAAGATAATTAAGGATCGAAGAAACAGAATGTTGTCCATAAGGCAATGCAAGTCAAACGTGGACTATCTGACCCACCTTACTGGCATCCAGGTCAGTGGTGTGCTTCATTACCCGGGGGTCATATCCATTGTGTCGTTCTTGGATAACGGGGTCAAACAGCTCAGCAAATACCTGAAGGGGAGTCAGGAGGAAGAAGATGGTTAGGGAGGGGGGCATCCCCTCCTCGGCTTTCAATGTGGGTTGATTTCACATGGACAGAAAACATAAGTGCAGATGGATCAGTGTCAAGGGTAAGTAAGGGGTTTTTATGGGGAAGGAGCTGGGGTTACTGGGAAGATGAGTTGGATCAACCAGGGAAACTCTGAGAGCCCCCTACCTCGTAGGTCTCCTCATCTCCAGCCACCATGCCCACAGTCTTGATGAAGGGGTGGCCGGGGTTGTCCACGCCAGTCTGGATACACTGATCTAGCGTCCAACCAGTGGGTGTGGTCTTGTCGCAGAGCCGGGCATAGACCGCTGGGGTCAGGTGACTGGCCATGCAGTTGTTGTGCTTTCGGAGGTCTGGGTACTCAGCACTAGGGAGGGGGTACCCAGTAACCATGGAGGGAGAGCACAGGTGGGCTAGACCTAGTGCGTCAGCCAGGAGCTGTCCAATTCGCTGTGTCTGGCTGTCCTCCTTGGGAGGAGGGAGACTACAGGGAAGCTAAACCTTGGTAATCTCATTAGGGTTTTCAGGGTCTGTTCTTTCCCAGCAGTCCTAGCTTCCCCTGGCTGGCCAGCTCAATTCTCCTAGATCTGCTCCATTCTTTCATCCCTAGAGCACAACATTAAGAATGGGGGCGGGGAAAGACTAAGGAGGAAATTTAGGAAAATGGGGGAGAACAACAAGAAAAAGGAGATGAAAGAGATCAAAAGGGATAGTTCCTGATCTCTCCATTAGGGATTTGGACAGAGATGCAACCAGAACTGACTGGACCAGAGCCGGTCCTGTGGGGAGAGATGGCAGGCTCCAGGACCCCAGGAATGCTTTGGCCTTGTGGTTTTGGCTTCCACCCCCCACCCACTAAGCACTAGGCCACGGCTTGAGGATCCTGCTACCGAATGTCAGGGCAGGAGCAGGCTCCGGGCAGGACCCCAGAGGGAGGTCTCCAGACTGTACAGCACCCCACTCCAGAGCCTTCGTGGCTATAGCCCTCCTCCGTTTCCCCTGCCCTCCTCTCCATCCCCATCTTGGCTCTCATCATCACCACTTCCCGGGGCGGGGGGTGGGGGCTCAGACCCTGATACCTCGGGGGATACATCCTCCGTCGTTCACTGGCGGCTCGTACAGGTTCCGGGCGGAGCAGAAATCCAGCAGCGAGAGACCCAGCTCCAGCCAAAGCCAGGAGCCTGAGCCCCGGGCGGGCGGACAGCAGACGGGAGAAGGGACCGGCCATGGCTTGAGGTTCCTGCTACGGAATGTCAGAGCAGGAGCAGGAGCAGGAGCAGGGCGGGATCCGGGAGGGAGGATGCCACCAGGGGCACTGCGGGCTGGGACTGCTGGGTGCAAGGCTGGAGCCAAAATGGGGCCCGGGGTGAAGCCTGGCGTGGGAGCCGGTGCCGACCAGCCTGCAGGAAAGGCGCAATGAGCTAGCGGCAGGAGGGAGGGAGGCCTCACTCAGCCGCAGTCTCCAGGGGTGGGGCTCACCCAGACCCCGCCCTCCGCCTGCCACCGCGCTAGGTGTGCGGAGACGGAGGTAGGCGGCAGCTGCCTGTTAGATGGGGGATGTGTGGGGGGGATTTGCTCCCTTCCCTTGGATAAAGCTGCACAGATTTCAGCACCAAGTAGAGAAACAGCACCCAAGGGGTCTGCGCGAACACCCTTCCCCCAAGCCTCTAGGGCTTAATTGGAAACTCGATTCTTCGTCACTCTGGGGGTGTGAAAGGGTGACAGTGCCCGACCTCTTCTCTGTGTTCAGTCTGCCCCAGCAACTTCTCCAGAGTCTTCCCAGGAGAGGCAGCCCCGGGGAGGCCGGGGAGTGCAGACAGGTGCCAGAGGAAAACACGGGAAAAGCAGCACAGAGTTAGAGGCAGAGGCCGGGAAAGACACCCGCTGCTGGTTCAAGGTCACCTTTTCTTCAGAACCAGGAAGAGAACCAAGGCACCTCCCTTCCTACCTGTACTCTCCTTACAAGGTGGAGAAGGATCGGGGAGACATGAACTCCTGCCTGACCTGTGCTGGGTTCCCCCGCCCCGCCCCTGGCCCCTCATCTGAAGCTCTGCTATGGCCTGCCTACACTTCTTAGGACCCCCCCCCCCCCCCTCACACACACACACACACACACACACACACACACACACACACATTTCCCCCCTCCACCACCCTCCTTCCCATCCCCGGGTTCACCTTTGATCTTCTCCTCCTCAGCAGTCTAGTCCAGGCTGCTCACAGGACTCCCTCTCAGAAGTCTCGGCACACTTGCTCACCTTACCTGAGGGTTGCACGGAGGTAAGGCTGGGGCTGGGCAGGGAGTTGCCAGTTTCCTCTTCCTCCTCTCCCCTCTCTGTAGCTCCCAGTTCCCGGGCTGGCGTGAAGTGTGAGGTGAGTTGCAGGGTGTGGTGAGATGATTGGGTGTAGGAATGGGACAGGCGGGCACAGGTTTCCGTTCGCCACATGTGTTTCCTCTCTTGGCTCCTTAATGCTGTGTAATCCAGGGTGAAAGCGGGGCGTGGTGTCCAAGGGCATAAGGTCTTCAGGGAATCTCCACCTTCCCTTTGGTCCTCTGTCTCCCCCTCTTTCCTTAGATGGAAGAGGGCTTTCTTCCTACAGCTTTATTCCAACCGAGTGTGACTTGGGTGTGACTTGACTTTTGTCAGGGCAGAAGGGAGAATGAAAGTTGGAGCTGAAAGAGATGTGGGGTTTCCGTATGGAGGGTCAGTGAAGGTAGGGTAGTGATGGTGGCATTGGCTCCTTCCCTCAGCTTTCTTGGTGTATCCACAAGACAGTAAGATGCTTGAAAATCTTAGGGGAGAGTATTTGAGGAAGAGATGTTCCTTTCACCCCACCCCTGTTCTTTCATCCCCTTCATTCTCAGGCTTCCCTTGTGTTCCTCTTTCTGCTTTCTTCATTTGTGGGAATCTTTAGAAGCCATCCACCTCTCTTTTGGGTCCATCGCTGAACTCCTTTTTCTCCTGGTAAAAGAGCAGTTATTGAATCCTGCAGTTGAAGTACAGTCACGCTTGGAGAGACACGCAAAACGTTACCTGTGTTGTGGGGGCTCATTATCTAGATTGAGGAGTAGCTAGGAGCAAGCAAATATAATTGCAGGGTGTGTATTTACCCTGATAAAGGAAGGAGATAATCTTCCAGAGAAGTAGGGTTATTTGACTGAGAGGGCAGTTATAAATTAAAGAGGTAGGAAGCAGGAAGAGAGAGTTACAGAAGGGAAAACAAGAATTGCCTAGAGGAGTAAAGAAATCACTTAAGCCCTCGCCAGGTAGATCAGTTGGTTAGAGCATTATTCCAATATGCCAAGGTTGTGGATTAGATCCCCAGTCAGCATAAATACAAGAGTCAACCAATGAATGCATAAATAAGTGGAAAAAGTGTCAGTGTCTTTCTCTCCCCCTCCCCCCTCTCTCTCTCTCTCTCTCTCTCTCTCTCTCTCTCTCTCTCTCCCTCATTAATTTTAAAATCTTAAAAAAAGAAACCACTCAATATATGGTACTTAATTATTACTACCAATCATATTCAACATTTATAAAGCACTTTACAATTACAAGGGATTCTTGTGTGTATTATTTCATCGAATTGAATTGCAGTGTTCCAATGGCTGACTAGATAAGAGACTGAGTCTACATCTTCAGGAGAATGAGAAGACATGTTAATTACCTACAAGATGCTTTAATAACTTGTTTGAAAGGTTGGAGTGGTGGAAGCGATATGAGCCTGAACATGAACTAAGGAGGTTTCTATTTCTCTTAGGGCCAGTCATTAAAATCATCTCTAACTCTTTTGGGAAGCCTTGGGGTCAGTATAATATGCACCTGACTGAAAAAGTGGTATGATTTCTAAGGGTGCAGGAAGAAACAATGAATTGTTTTGATCAGGGAAATCTACGTGAGGCTGCAAATATAATACAAACATACACAAAATGCTTTACATAATCAGTACCCTACGAGCTAGGTTTTTAATCCCACTCTTTTATGAGAAAACGGAGGCTGAAGGAAGTTCAGTAGCTTGTCCAAGGCTGCACAGCTATTACCAGCAAGGTCAGGAGTCAAGTCTAGAGGACAGAGAACAAGCAAAGTGAGGAGAAAGGAATCAACTTGTTCAGCCTTCCATGTCCATCCATTTACTTGACTTCTTCACTCGTTAACATTGTTAACGTATATTTATTGGATCTCTACTGATATCATACTCCGTTTTTGTTTTGTTTTGTTTTTTTGTAAAACAAAAAGAAGACGAGGTTTTGTCCTCCGGGAGGTGCAACGACGCAAATCCTTCCTCTTCCTCTGCAGGTTGCTTTCCTCCCCGCTTCTCTGTATCCCTGGCAAGTGCAGCAGCATCTGAATTGTGGCGACGCAGTTAGAAATCGGAGCATCAGGTTGCACTTCCCCACAGAGCCGCTAGGGGCCACCCTCCTCCGCGCAGAAGCGCCGGCCAACGCAGCCTGACTCCGCCGCCGGTGCGCGCCCTCCGCTGATTGGCGGCACCGCGGAGGAGCCGCGCTTCGATTGGGCCGCTGTCAGGTGTCGCTGCCGGCAGGTTCGGCTGCGCGAGCGCGGGGAGGCGGGTGAGTGCGGGCCGGGGGCGGTGGGGGAGTGGCTGGGGCTGGGGGCGGTATCGGAGCGGGTGGGCTGCGGAGGGTGGGCTCGGCCGGCGCTCGGGGCTGTGGTGCGGCCCCGCTGGGGGCCGCTGTGGCCGGAGACCCGGCGGGGAGGCCTCAATGTCAGCGGGGGGACAGTGCTCCTTCCCGGCGGGCGGGGGCGAGAGGAGCCGGGCTCGGCGGGCGGGCGGGCGGGCGGGCGGGCGGCCGGGGTCCGCGGGAGAGGACCGGGGAGCGGGCGGCGGGAGAGGCCGCGCGCGGGCGGCGCGGGAGGAGGTGGCGGTGGGAGGCTGTGCGGGGCGTGGGAGTGGAGGCAGCCCGGAGGGTCAGCGGGAGGAAGGGGTTGTTGCCGGGGGAGGAGGTGCGGGGTGGGGGTGTCATGGGAGGAAAGACGGGAGCTTAGGCAGCATTGGAGGGGGTTGGGGGGGGGGGGGGGAAGCGGTCACTGAGGGTTCCACGGAAATGTGTGACCAAGTGTGGTGACTCTTCTGAGGGCAGGAGGACGGTCCAGTGCTGGGGAACTAGTGAGGGAGAGGCTGGTTGGGTTATTATTTGGGTTCGTCGCTGAGTGATGGGAGTGGGCAGGGGGGAGTCGTTGGGGGAAGAAGGCGGTGGGAGTGAGGGATGCTGAGGACAAGGGCAGCGGCGCAGGGCATGGGTGTGAGCAGGAGAACTGAGAAAATTGCACCAGAAGGAGCTGAGGGGCCCCCTGTGGAGGCCGGGAAGGAGTCGGGGTTGGTGGCCCAGAGCTGTATTGTGTTGGAAGTCTTCCTGCCTGAACTTGGTGTTGATGTTTTCCCTTCACTCCATCAAGTGGACGGGGGTGAAGGAGATGGGAGGACTACTGCAAGCGGCCCTGAATTCTAAGGGATAAAGAAGTCCCACAGTTGACTCTCTCTCCTACCCCTTCTCCAGATCTGATTTCACATAGATGTTCCTGAGAACATTGCCACCTGCCCCTCCCTTTCCCATCCTACTAATCCCCTCCCTCCCTCCCTCCCTCCCGCAACCCTTCCCTCCTTTCCTTTCCTTTCAGGGAAACTGGCCAGAGTAAGGCAGCCCTTTAACCAAATGTAGACTCTGTGAAGTTTTCTTTTTCTTTCTGGCAACAAAGTATTGCGTGAGAGGGAATGGGAGAAGAGCACAGAAAGCAGGGGGGTGGCTCTTGGAACAACCACGTTAAGGCCCATCTTCTCCCAAAGGTACATCTAAATAAATCCTCGCTTATTTCATAGCTATTTCTGGCAGGCTTCTATTTTTGCTTTGTTAACTATGAATTTAGACCTCTCATCTCTCCTGTAAACAGACTCTCCTTCCTCCTGTTACCATCTCCTGTTTTAGAGTTGCAATAGAACTTCAAGCACATGATTGTGTATATTCAGTCAAACAAACAAACAAACAAACCAGGAAGGACGGAGTGTAAGAAAGGGTGAAAGGATAGAAATCTTAGGAGAAGAAGCTCTTGCTTCAGAGAAAAGATAAAGATTGCAACAAAGTTCTACTTGCTGAAACTCTCTCTGCAGGGACCTTGGGAATGCCACAAGTCATGAAAATTGGGTCAGGTCACCGAAAAGGAGTCCAAAGAAATAGCCTATTAGTCAGGAGGGGAGTGTTCAAGGCATTCAGTGCACAATTGGGACTATGAAGTCGAAGGAGAATGTCGTGCCCCCAGGGTGGTTGAGCAAGGGAGACAAGTGGATGGTGAAGACTGGAAATGTCTAGCTTTATGTAAAGGTTAACTAACTTTCTAATCAAAACAGCAACCCCCACCGGCAAAATTCTAAAAAAAGAAAAAAAAAAATGCCCTAGCCGGTTTGGCTCCGTGGATAGAGGTGGATAGAGTTCAGTTCCCATCAAGGGCATATGCCTGGGTTGCAGGCTCATTCCCCAGTGCAGTGTGTGTGTAGGAGGCAGCAGATCAATGATTCTCTCTCATCATTGATGTTTCTCTCTCTCTCTCCCACTTCTCCCTTCCTCTCTGAAATTAATTTAAAAAAAATATTTTTTTAAAAAAAGAAAAAAACCCTGCAACTCCCACTTGTAATGATAGGGTTTAAATAAAAATACATAAAGTAATTCTTTTTTTATTGATTTAAAAAAAAATAAACCTTTATTGAGAGGATCCAAGATGGCTGCTCGGGTACACACCTAACCGCAGCAGCACACAACAATTTCAATGGAATACAACTAAAATGTAGAGTGGACATCGCCCAGAGCTACAGGTAGTTGACTGACTGAAAATTCTACAACAAGAAGGAAAGAGAAAACCAGAAGGAAAATCAGAGGAGCTGAAAAATCCTAAGGTAAAGGTACGGAGACATGCTGCGCGCCCACACGCATGCGCGAACGCGGAGAGGATGCAGCTGGAGAGGAGGAGAGGGCTGGGTACTGCCTGGCGTTCCCTAGCAGGAAGGAAATAAAACCCCCAGCCTGGGCTGAACCCCCGAACCGGCAGCGCTGAGCCCCAGATATGAGCCAGACCCTGGGGACCCAGGCTCCGGCGGGGGAGACGGGGCTGTGAGGCGGAATCCCAGGGGAGTGGCGAAAAGTGGAGCCCCCAGAGTCGCACTGCGCGCAGAGGACAGTCTGTTGACTCTGATCCTGGACTCCCCTAGCAGGAAGGAGAAAAAAAAAAGCTCCAGACTGGAGGAATGCGACAGGGAGCAGGAGCCCCTGCCGGACACCAGTCAGCCGGGCGCCGGCAGGGAGCCGGGCGATGGGGCCCCCAGGGGGGGGGGGGGTACCCCTGAGCCATCGACCCCTGAGCGCGGGCAACAGAGCCAAGGCCGGGGGCTGCTTCCTGGGCGGCACCGACCCCAGCAACAGGCTGGAGCAGCGCGGGAGCCCACGGAGAACAAAGGGGTGCCACAGGCCAACCTGCTGAGCTCCCAGGACAAGGAGGAAGAAACCAAAGTTCTCAATGTGAAGAAATCAAGTGAGAGCAAAAGATAGTAAAATTACTTAAGAAAGAATACAAAGAAGATCTTGAAAAATCAAAGACTAAGTCAGAACTCAACTCACCAGCCAACATTGCAACATAAATGCGTTTAAAAAAAAAAAAAAAAAAAAAAGGACAGAATATTGGAACAGCAGCGGCTAGGCCTAGAGTGGCCAGGCACAAAGCAATGACAACCGGGCCCGGAGCAGCAACGGCCAGGCCCCAGAGCAGCAGCAGCCAGAACCAGAGCAACAACAGCCAGCACTGGAGCAGCCAGACCTGGGGCAGTGGCAGCCAGGCCTGAGGCGGAGGCAGCCAAGCCCAGGGAGGCCAGTCCAGGAACACCCAGACCCGGAGTGGCCGGGCCCGGAGAAGCCGGGCCCAGAGCAGCCGGGTTGGGAGCAGCCAGGTCCAGAACAGCAGTAGCCAAGCCCGGAGCATCCAGGCCGGGAGTGGCCAGGCTCAGAGCGGCTGGGCCCAGGGCAGCTGGGCCCAGAGCAGCCGGGTCTGGTGCGGCCAGGCCCGGAGCAGCGGCTGCCAGGCTGGGAGCGGCCAGGCCCGGAGCAGCCGGGTCTGGTGTGGCCAGGCCCGGAGCAGCAGCTGCCAGGCTGGGAGCGGCCAGGCCCGGAGCAGCCGGGTCTGGTGCGGCCAGGCTCAGAGCAGCGGCTGCCAGGCTGGGAGCGGCCAGCGGCTGCTAGGCTGGGAGTGGCCAGGCCCGGAGCCAGCCGGGTCTGGTGCGGCCAGGCCCGGAGCAGCGGCAGCCGGGTCCAGAGCAACTAGGTCGGGAGCGGCGGTGACCAGACCTGAAGCAGCTGGTTGTGGAATGAACCAGAGCAACAGAGGCCAGGCCCGGAGCAGCCAGGCCCGGAACAGCTCGCTCCTCGCCTGCCCCTGCCCCACGGCTGCCTCTCAGACATGGCTGGAAACTTTTGTGGGAACTTGAGGGTCTGCTGAATCAAATGATGAAGGCTTAGATCTGGATGTGTTGAGTTAGTATAGGGCCGGGGTGTTGATCTGTGAGTGCCTTGGGTGGGGCCTGGATGAAGCTGGTTGACCTATCTGGAAATGTCTTTTGTGTGAAATGTATCATTGGGCATGTGGAGGTATTATTGATATGAGAAAATGCTAAGTAACTGATTTACTATCTGAAAAGGGATTTATTATCGGGGAAAGGGAGGGAGGAAGAGACTGAACATAAACTGCACCTATGAATGAGGACAATGGGGGATGGGCAGGGGGCGGAGGGTGGTGTGGGAACCTGGTGGAGGGGGGAAGAAATGAGGAACCTTTGTAACAATATGAACAATAAAGATTGATTTAAAAAAATAATAAACCTTTATTATTTCCCCCCTTCACCAGGTTCCTACCCCACCCTCTGCCCTTTCCCTACCCCCCATTGTCCTCATCTATAGGTGCACAGTTTATGTTCATCTCTTCCCGCACACCCCACTCCTCTTTTCCCTGAGAATAATCAGTCCACTCCCCTTCCATATCTCTGATTCTATTATATTCAACAGTTAATATTGTTCATCAGGTTTTTTAATTCACTTGGTTTTTAGATTCACTTGTTGATAGTTATGTATTTGTTGTTCATAATTTTTGTCTTTATTTTCTTTCTCTTCCGAAAGAACCCCCTTCAGCAATTCATATAATTCTGGTTTGGCAGTGATGAACTCCTTTAGCTTTTTTTTATTAGTGAAGCTCTTTATCTGGCCTTCGATTCTGAGTGATAGCTTTGCTGGATAGATTATTTTTGGCTGTAGGTTCTTGCTATTCATCACCTTGAATATTTCTTGCCATTCCCTTCTGGCCTGCATGGTTTCTGTTGAGAAATCAGCTGACAATCGTATGGGTGTTCCTTTATAGGTAACTACCCGTTTCTCTCTTGCTGCTTTCAATATTCTCTCTTTGTCTTTTGTTCTTGGAATTTTAATTATGATGTGTCTTGGTGTGGTCCTCTTTGGATTTCTTTTGTTTGGGGTTCTGTGTGCTTCCTGGACTTGTAAGTCTAATTCTTTCCCCAGGTGGGGGAAATTTTCTGTCACCATTTCTTTCAGTATGTTTTCGGTATCTTGCTCTCTCTCTTCTTCTGGGACCCCCATAATTCTGATGTTGGTTCGCTTGAAGTTGTCCCAGAGTTTTCTTACATTATCTTCAACTTTCTGGGTTCTCTTGTCTTCTTGCTTCTGCGGAGGAGTATCTTCTGGCTCTTTATGTTCCAAATCTTTGACTTGATTCTTGCGATCTTCCATTCTGTTTTTAGGACTCTGTATAATATTTTTTTATTTCAGACAATGTATTCTTTATTTCTTGTTGATCCCTTATTATTTCTTGTTGATCCCTTATTATTTCTAGTTGATCCCTTTTCATAACCTCATAGGTCTTATCGACCTTTTCTAGGAAATTCTTGAAAAACCTTATAAGCGTGGTTTTGAACTCTATATCCATTCGCTTTTTGTCCTCCATTTCTTTCGTTTGTGATCTGTTTCCTTGACTCGGCATTTTCACAGCTTCCCTGCACAAAGTAATTCTTATTGAAGACTATTTAAAATTTCCATAAGACTAAATCCACTTACTTAAGACGTTTGTGGCTTTCTAGAATCAGTATTTTTTGAGACCTTTTGGAGAATGTGGGAAATGACTGATGTGTGTGTGACTCAATTTTATTTTGATATCCATATCCCCATAATTTAGTGTTAATAAATGTTAATACCTTTGTATATTTGCTTCAGATTTAAAAAACTAAAATAAACATTATAGATAGGACTGTGAAGTTCCATTCAAATTCTTGTCAGTTCCATCCTTCCCTCGACTCAGAGGTAACCACTATCATGCATTTGATGTTTGTCTTTCCAGTCTATTTTTATATTTCTACTATTTAGTATACAGTCATAAGCATAAGTAATATTTTTTATTTATACAGATGGAACTGTGCCGCATGTATTTCTATATGTTTAGAAAGGGAGAGGGAGAGAGAGAAACATCAGTGATGAGGGGAAAAACATTGATCAGCTGCCTCGTGCACACCCTTACTGGGAACTGAGCCCGCAATATGGGCATGTGCCCGCCTGGGAATCAAAACCATGACTTCCTGGTCCATGGGTCAGTGCTCAATCACTGAGCCACACTGGCTAGGCTAATGTTTTTTTTAATTGCTATTAGTCTATCATGTATGTACATTACATTTTATTTATCCATTCTTCTACTTGTGACATCTGAGTTGTTTTTATTTTTTCCCATTATTAACAGTGAGGTTATGAACATCTTTGTACATGAGAGAGTTTCTCTCAGCAGAGTTTCTCAAACTTGGTACTACTAACATTTTGGACTGGATAATTCTTTGTTGTGGGGAAATATCCTATTCATTTTAGACTATTTAGCAGCATGGCTCTGGCTGGGTAGCTCAGTTGGTTATAGCATCATCCCCATATGCCAAGTTTGCAGGTTTGATCCTGCTCAGTGCACATATAAGAAGCAACCAATGAAAGTAGAAATCATTGGAACAACAAATTGATGTTTCTTTCTCTCCCTCTCTAAAATAAATAATAATAATAATAATAATAATAATAATAATAATAATAAAGGATATTTAGCCGAAATCGGTTTGGCTCAATGGATAGAGCGTCGGCTTGGGGATGGAATGGTCCCGGGTTCGATTCCGGTCAAGGGCATGTACCTTGGTTGCGGGCACATCCCCAGTAGGGGGTGTACAAGAGGCAGTTGATCGATGACTCTCATTGATGTTTCTAGCTCTCTGTGTCTCTCCCTTCCTCTCTGTACAAAATCAATAAAATAAAATAAAAAAAGGATATTTAGCAGCATCTCTGGCATCTGCTGACCAGATGCCAATAGCACCTCCCCAGATATGACAACCAAAAATGTCTCCTGCAGATGTCCCCCGCACAGCATATTCACAATTGGATAAGCACCACTACTCTAGGTATATGTACGCAGAAGTAGATAGAACTGCTAGGTTCTGAGTTTTTCAAAAAATATATATTTTATTGATTTTTTTTTACAGAGAGGAAGAGAGAGGGATAGAGAGTTAGAAACATCGATGAGAGAAACATTCATCAACTGCCTTCTGCACACACCTCAATGGGGATGTGCCCGCAAACCAAGGTATATACCCTTGACTGGAATCGAACCTGGGACCCTTCAGTCCTTGGGCCAACACTCTATCCACTGAGCCAAATCGGTTTCGGCTGTTCTGAGTTTAAGTCTTAAAATATTCTCACTGATATGGCCCTAAGTAGGATTTTTTCCCCCATTGTAGTTTCTGATATGAGGGACCTTGGCCTAGAGCAGTGTTTCCCAAAGTGTAGTACACATACCCCCAGGGGTACGGGAAGAGTTTGGTGGGGATATGCACTGCACCATGCTTAGCTGCGCCTAATTCTATTATACGTTCTCATGAGTACGAGGGGTACTCAGCATTACAAAAATTATAGAAGGGGAACACAGATGTCAAAAGTTTGGGAAACACTGGCCTAGAGGAACCTTGGGTCTGTAGTACCAGATGTGGTAGAGAGAAAATTGAAATTTCAGTTTGAGAATGGATTGGAGGCTGTTGTGTGGATGCTTGTATCCCCAGCCTAACAACCAGCATTAGACCTATTTCCTTGAACAGATTTTCTGAACTTGGGCATCTGTTTTTTTACGGTGAGCAGATGAAGGAGAGAAGGGGGAATAGAGAATTTCATTGTTCTGATAATGCTTAGAACATAGGGTGCCTTTTAAGAAATTGTGTGTGTGTGGTGTGTTTTTTTTAAAAATTAATCCATGGTAGGAATGAAGATGGGGGTTAAGGGCAAATGCAGCTGATCTCACGTTGCTCTGAATTAAGTCACTGAGTTCAGCAGTACTGTAGCGAGGTGGAGAAGGACTAGGAATGTTTTGGAAGGAATCCAGAGTTTGAAATGTCACTTTACCCTTTTCTCATAGGAATCCACAGTAACCTTCCATGAGGAACTGCCTTTCCCATTTGCTACTAGAGTTAACGGGTGTTTCCTGCTGGCAGAATCAGGGACATGACAGCACTGTGAGGGTTAATCTGCTGATCCTCTAATCAGTCTCACAGCTGGAGGTGGGGTGAGCAGAAAAGGGAGACTGCTTTTCTGTTATGGATCTCTAGTCATTTCAAGTCTTAGCCCATGTGCTTTCTTGCCTGTTGATCCTTTTTACCATAGCTTCCTTTGTTTCCCCTAATTCCCGAATTGTTTTCTCTTATTTCCTCACTAGAGGCCCGGTGCATGAATTCGTGCACAGATGGGGTCTGGCCAGCCCGCCCTGATGGGGGCCAATCAGGGATGGGGCTGGTGGGGGGGACCACAGGAGGTTGGCTGGCCAGCCCCAACCCCATTTTTGGTTGTCATATCTGGGGAGGTGCTGTTGGCATCTGGTGGGGGGCCAATCGGGGGTGGGCCAGTGGGGGAGAGGGGCCACAGGAGGTTTGTGGGGGACTAATCAGAGCCTGGATCAGGCCAATTGGCTGCCACAGTGTGCATCATAGCGACCCATTGTTCCAGCAGTTCTGCTATTCCAGTCACGTGGCTTTTATGTATATAGATTCCCCACCCCATACCCCTACCCACTGCCGTAGGGCTTGGCTTCTGAGCTAATGGGATTCTCCCCACTGCAGAGCGGGATGAGTGGGTGCTCCGGCGGGGATGTGGTCATTTCGGACCAGTGAGAGCGGGAGTGCCACAGCCCACTTCTTCCTTGGAGCTGGAGATGAGGGGCTGGGCACCCGTCATCGAATAGGCATGAGGACAGAAGACAGTGACAGCGAGCTCCTCGAGGATGAGGAGGATGAAATGGTAAGACAAGAGAAGATGATGTAATTTGGTATTGGGTCCCCTTGCTATAAAGAATTGAAATTCCATGTGGATGGGGACACCTTGCTATTCTTTCCAGATGCAGAGCCTCCCCCTCATAAACAGGCCCTGTCCTGGCTAAGAGGAGGAGGAGTGGAGAATGGTTGGATTGCCTCCCTTTGAAGCCCCTCCCCTATTATCTCATGGTTCTCTGGCTCTTCTGCCTAAGCACACATTTCCTGCTGTGGAAAGGCTCCTATTCTGTAAGCAGTAGGAACCCTTATAGGCACCCCAATCTACGATGTAAGTTAGGAGACACCTTTTACTCTCTGGGTCCAAAGTCCTGGCAAGAATCTCTGTGCCCTAAGGAGATGAGACAGTGTTCCCTGATAGGGGTGGCCCAGGTTCCTGACAGCACTTCCTCTCCGTAGCCTCCTGAACCTCAGATCATTGTTGGCATCTGTGCCATGACGAAGAAATCCAAGTCCAAGCCAATGACCCAAATCCTAGAGAGACTCTGCAGATTTGACTACCTGACTGTTATTATCCTGGGAGAAGATGTGATCCTCAATGAACCTGTGGAAAACTGGCCATCCTGCCACTGCCTCATTTCTTTCCACTCCAAAGGTGAGGGCCTGTGAAGGAAATGGGAAGGAACGGTGCTGGGGATGTTGGACTGGGAAAGGAAGTTCTTACTGTCAGTTAGGAAAGAAGTCTTCAGTTCTTCCTGACACCCTGGAGAGCAGCGCAAAGGGGTTTGTTTTTCCTACATCTTAGGGGAGTTGCTGCAGGTAGTGTAAAGCCCATATTTGAACCTTAGGACAGCTCTACAGCTCTTAGGATCTCAAAGACCCTAAAAATAATTTCTTTTTTGAATTTTTTCCTGATGGATACTCTAGGTTTGGGAAGTTGGGCAGAGGATAAGAGATGGAATGGATGGGTAGGGGAGTTCAATGGACCAGCTTTAATATGTCTATTTCTCTTGCTTTTTTTTTTCTTTTTTCTTTTTTTTTCTTTTCACTCTGTCTCTTTTGCTTCCTTTCTTTGGTCTCTACTTCCTTTCTCCATCCCAGGCTTTCCTCTGGACAAAGCTGTTGCTTACTCCAAGCTTCGAAACCCCTTTCTTATCAATGACCTGGCCATGCAGTATTACATCCAGGATAGGTATAGCTTTCTATTAACTGGCGGGTGGGTGGGTGGCCCTGAGATCACGCCTGTTTAGAGAACCCACTCTGGGAGGGGCAGAGTCAAGCAAACATGCTTACTTTTTGTACCAAACCCTCTTGAGTTCTACATCCTGGCAAATCCCAGTTCTGAAGCACATGAAATCCCTAGCCCTTCCCCATAGTGACCATCCCACCTCTCCCAGCTAATTTATTCCGGGGGTGACAGGAGGGAGGTGTACCGGATCCTGCAGGAGGAGGGTATTGATCTGCCTCGATATGCTGTGCTCAACCGTGACCCTGCCAGGCCTGAGGGTGAGTACGTGGCCTTGTCCAGTCCTGCCCTGCCTTGCTTTCTGTGACTTAGCCCAGCTCTCCATCCTCTAGACATCTTCTATGTACCACCTCTCTGAGTGAAGCTTTGGTTATTAGATTATGGGTAGAGTTAGAGCCATGAGTCTTTGGACTTAGCCTTGGACATCTTCTATAGATATTTATATGTCTATGTACCATATACCGTAGATATTGACCATATTTATTACTAAGATATAATCATAGAAACTTGAGAGTTATAAGGATGAAAACTTGAAGAAAAAGGAGTTGGAAGTATTCTACAATTCTAGGCCCTAGGAATGACTGCACACCTACTTTTCAGAGTGCAACCTGATAGAAGGTGAAGACCAGGTAGAGGTGAATGGGGCTGTCTTTCCCAAGCCCTTTGTGGAGAAGCCTGTGAGTGCCGAGGACCACAATGTCTACATCTACTACCCCAGCTCTGCTGGAGGGGGAAGCCAGCGCCTCTTTCGGAAGGTACGGGGGAATCAGAGCAGGTGAAGGACAAGAATGAGGTTGTGGGGAGGGGAGCTGGAGGATTTGGGGATAAAGTGGAGGCAACATTCTTATTTTTCTTATTTTTCCTTCCAAAGATTGGCAGCCGAAGCAGCGTTTATTCTCCTGAGAGCAGCGTCCGAAAGACAGGGTCATACATCTATGAGGAGTTTATGCCAACAGATGGCACAGATGTCAAGGTTATGGGGGATATAGGGATTTAAGAGGATATAAATGTCTAGGTGGGATGGGGGCTTGGGGAGCCAGTGGAAGCATGTGGAAGGTGTCATAGAAAATAAAGGGTGAATGGGAGTGGCTTTCATATTCAGTTGAAGATAACAAGTGGTGGGAGTAGATATTTAAATTGTTACTATCATAGCAAGGGCAAAGGTGACATGGAAGATGATATAAAAAATTAGTAAATTATTTCTTAATAAGGATGATAGTGCTGGAATCCCTAGGAGAAACTTTCATAATAATACTTCAGTAGGGCTCAGTAAGAAAGGTGTCAGTTTCCTTGTTCTTAATAGTTAGGGTGTATTTTTGTTTTGGTTTTGGTTTTTTACTCTGAAACTAGCGTACAGACCTAGTGCTCATGTTGTCTTCTCATATACAGGGTGCGCTGTGGGCATACTCAGTGATGCTATGTACCTGCAGGTATATACAGTGGGGCCAGATTATGCCCATGCTGAAGCCAGAAAATCTCCAGCTTTGGATGGGAAGGTCGAACGAGACAGTGAAGGGAAAGAGATTCGATATCCGGTCATGCTGACTGCCATGGAAAAGCTGGTGGCCAGGAAAGTCTGTGTAGCTTTTAAGGTAAAGATTTGTGGGGGTGAGGGGCGCTGTGTAATGAAGGACATGGATAGGAGCAGGGGTCTGGGAGGGGAAAATGGCTCCATTGTTCTCATCTTGCCTTTTTGCTCTACATGCAGCAAACAGTGTGTGGTTTTGACCTTCTTCGTGCCAACGGTCATTCCTTTGTATGTGATGTCAATGGCTTCAGTTTTGTCAAGAATTCGATGAAATACTACGATGACTGTGCCAAGATTCTGGGGTAAGGGACACAGTGGTTTGGGCTGGGAAGAATGAGCTTAGAGAAGAGAGTTAAAAAGCTTTTGCTTTAATTTAATTATTATAAAAATGCTTTCAAAAGGAAAACAGAAAAAGGGCTCCTCAGCCCTCTTGCCTTCCCAACACTGTACTACCCAGAGGTAATTCCTGTTAACAGCCTTAGACATAATGGTATGTGTTTTTCTGCCATGTGTAAACAAATTATATTTATTGTATTAAATCATATTGTAATACTGTTTACAACTTGACTTTTAAAAAATCCATCACATAATATTTAAAACATTTAAAACTGTATAAGAAATGATGAATATGGTAAGTTTCCATGTATTCACCATTGAGCTTAAGAAGTAAAATATTGCCCTAGCCAATTTGGCTCAGTAGATAGAGCATCGGCCTGTGGACCGAAAGGTTCCAGGTTTGATTCGGCCAGGGGTTGCCCATGGCTCAATCCCCATTAAGGGAGTGCAAGAGGCAGCAGATCAATGATTCTTTCCCATCATTGATGTTTCTCTCTCTCTTTTTCTCTCCCTTCCTTTCTAAAATCAATAAAAATAATTTTTTTAAAAGTGAAATATTGCCTGGTCACTGTGGCTGAGTGGTTGAACGTCATTGGCCACGAACCAGGAGGTCATGGTTTGATTACCAATCAGGGCATATGCCCCATTTGCAGGTTCCATCCTCAGTAGAGATCATGCAGGAAGCAGCTGATCGATGTTTCTCTTTCATCTATGTTTCTATTTTTCTATCTCCATCCCTTACACTCTATAAAATCAATAAAAATATATTTAAAAATAAAATAAAATATTGCCGAAACCGGTTTGGCTCAGTGGTAGAGCTTCAGTCTGCGGACTGAAAGGTCCCGGGTTTGATTCCAGTCAAGAGCATGTACTTTGGTTGCAGGCACATCCCCAGTAGGGGGTGTGCAAGAGGCAGCTGATCGGTGATTCTCATCGATGTTTCTAGCTCTCTATTCCTCTCTCCTCCTCTCTGTTAAAAATCAATAAAATATATATTTTTTAAAATAAAATATTAAGGATATCATTGAGGTCCCTCCATACCCCTCACTAATTACATCCCTTCTTCCCATCCAGATGTATTTTGTGTTTGTTAATCTCATACATGTATTAATAATTCTATTACAAATATGTGGAGGGTTTGCATATTTTTAGACTATTCATGTAGTTTTCTACAATGTGCTAGTTTTTGTGAGCTTCATTCCTATGTGAGGTTCATTCCTATGTGTAGTTCTTCATTCCTATGTGAGGTTCATTCATTTTCACACAGCTTCTTCACATTTCTCCTTCTAGGAACACCATAATGCGAGAACTTGCCCCTCAGTTCCAGATCCCGTGGTCCATCCCCACAGAGGCCGAGGACATCCCCATTGTCCCTACCACATCTGGCACTATGTGAGCAAAAGTGAAAAATCTGGAATAACCTACTTATGGCACCTAAGTCAGATCAGTAGTTACTTCCCTAACCCTGTGCATTCTGACGAGGTCTCTTCTAGGAAGTTTTCTTAACCTTATCTATATTCCTAAGAGCAGACAGTTTTCCTCTGTTCTTTAACATGTCAAGCAGGATGAAATGATGAGAGGTGGGGTGGGATGAGTTGTGGGAGAGGCTCTAAAAACATTCCTTATCTTAGGATGGAACTTCGTTGTGTCATTGCGATTATTCGTCATGGGGATCGTACCCCCAAGCAGAAGATGAAGATGGAAGTGACACACCCAAGGTAGAAAGAGCGCCCTGATTTAGACAAATAGATTTTTGTGAGGGAAATGGGAAGAGGGCAGCTCCCAGAGGCTTTGACTGTCCCACCCCATATTGAAGCTTCTCCTTATTTCTTCAGGTTTTTTAGCCTGTTTGAAAAGCATGGTGGTTACAAGACAGGGAAATTAAAACTAAAGAGGCCCGAACAGCTGCAGGTAAGATGGTGAATCTGGCTTGGAAGAGCAGTGCTTTGAGAAAGATAGAGGGTATGGGGTTGGGGGCCCCTGTGAGAGACCAGGATGAAGGGTACCTGGGCAGCATGTGGTCTTCTGCATGGATACCCTATTACTTCCTTCAGGAGGTGCTGGACATTGCAAGGCTGCTGTTGGCTGAACTGGAGAAAGAACCTGGGGGTGAGATCGAGGAGAAGACGGGGAAACTAGAGCAGCTGAAGTCTGTGCTGGAGATGTGAGAAAGGGCCTGGGAAAAGGGAGGGAGCCTGCTAACACTGAGAATTGGGGGCTGGAATAGAAACTCAGACTATGAGTTTATCCTGCAGGTATGGTCACTTCTCAGGCATCAACCGGAAGGTGCAGTTGACTTATTATCCTCATGGAGTAAAAGCTTCTAATGAGGGCCAAGGTAAGATATAATACCCCCTTTCCATTACCATTCAGATCTCTTGTTCTTAAACCCTTAGATGACTTCTGCCACAGATTACCTTTCTGGGCTCTTTAAAAGACCTAACATTTAGATGTCCCCAGTGTTTTCCTCAAATCAGGTCTACTTACTGCCTTTTATTCCAGCAGACCCACAGCAGGAGGCTGTAGCTCCATCTCTCTTGCTGGTACTGAAGTGGGGTGGAGAACTGACTCCCGCTGGTCGTGTTCAGGCTGAGGAGCTGGGGCGAGCTTTTCGCTGCATGTACCCTGGAGGACAGGGTAAGTGTTTGGGGCAATAGACACCTAGCAGGGCTGGCATCAAATGGTTAGAGGATAAGTTGGGGGAAATGAAGGTTCTGAGGCAAAGGGGAAGTTAAAGGGAGAATAAGCATTCTTTCTTTCACGTGGGAATTTGTGGTATGCATTCCCGGTCCTTCCTGTGCCTTCAGGTGACTATGCTGGCTTCCCCGGCTGCGGGCTGCTTCGGCTTCATAGCACTTTCCGCCATGATCTCAAGATCTATGCGTCTGACGAGGGCCGCGTCCAGATGACTGCCGCTGCCTTTGCCAAGGTGCACCTCACAGTCCTCCCACAGTCCCAGCTTCCTTTAGGTAGAGAAGCAGAGAGTTTGGAGAACTAATTGGGAAATTTAGGGTGTTTGTGTGCTGACTCAGAAGTTTCTTCTTGTTCCGACTCCATTCTCTACTACTGAGAATGCTCTGAGAATAATAGCCCAGTGGTCAGCAAACTGTGGCTCTGTTGACTAATGAGTTTGCCGACCACTGACCTAGACTCTAGATTCCAATAATTACAGGCTGTTGTTGTTTCTTGTTATTAAGCCCCTATCCCAGTGGTCCACAAACTCACTAATCAACAGAGCAGCAAACCACAGCTCATGAGCCGCAGTTTGCCGACCACTGTCCTAGCCAGGTCTCATTTGATCTCTCAGACCATCTAGGCCTAGGGGGACTGTGCTAGACTGTAAGGAAAGCTGACAGACTTTGTGCTTCCTCTCCAGGGCCTTTTGGCTCTAGAAGGGGAGCTGACACCCATTCTGGTACAAATGGTGAAGAGTGCCAATATGAACGGGCTCCTGGACAGTGACGGTGATTCCTTGAGCAGCTGCCAGCACCGAGTGAAGGCTCAACTTCACCACATTTTGCAGCGGGATGCACCCTTTGACCCTGAGGATTATGATCAGGTCAGCACCAAGATTCATTTGACAGCAAAACTTGACATGATTATTATTTATAATCCCTGTTTATCCCATTTAGTGTAAATAGTCATATATTTTGCTGCATAAGTGTATTTGATTATGCCCTATGTCCTGCTAGAAGTATTATATAACATATAGCATATGCACTGTATTAACTTCCTAAAGTTTGAATATTTCTCAATTTCAAGCACAGCTTGTCCCAAGGATATTTGAATGAAAGTGTTTTAATTATTTATTGCTGCATAAAAACTATCCCAAAACCCAGTAACTTAAAACAACCACTATTTCATTTTATTACATTTTTTTATTATTTTTATTTATTTATTTTTAATAAATTTTTATTGTTCATATTATTACAAATGTTCCTTACCCCTCCCCCCCTCCATTGCTCTCCTCCACCAGGCTCCCACCCCCCATTGTCCTCATCCATAGGTGCACAGTCTATGTTCAGTCTCTTCCCACATCCCCCTCTTCCCCTTTCCCCAAGAATCATCAGTTCACTCCCCTTCCATACCTCTGATTCTATTATATTCAACAGTTAATATTGTTCATCAGATTTTTTTTAATTTCCTTCGTTTTTAGATTCACTTGTTGATAGTTACGTATTTGTTGTTCATAATTTTTTAAAATATATTTTATTGATTTTTGTACAGAGTGGAAGGGAGAGAGATAGAGAGTTTGAAACATCAATGAGAGAGAGTCATCGATCAGCTGCCTCTTGCACACCCCCTACTGGGGATATGCTCGCAACCAAGGTACATGCCCTTAACCAGAATCGAACCCGGGGCCCTTCAGTCCCCAAGCCGACGCTCTATCCAATGAGCCAAACCAGTCCCGGCAGTTGTTGTTCATAATTTTTATCTTTATTTACTTTCTCTTCTGAAAGAACCCCCTTCAGCAATTCATATAATTCTGGTTTGGTGGTGATGAACTCCTTTAGCTTTTTTTTTTTATTAGTGAAGCTTTTTATCTGGCCTTTGATTCTGAGTGATAGCTTTGCTGGATAGATTATCTTTGGCTGTAGGTTCTTACTATTCATCACCTTGAATATTTCTTGCCATTCCCGTCTGGCCTACATGGTTTCTGTTGAGATAACAGCTGACAATCGTATAGGTGCTCCTTTATAGGTAACTACCTGCTTTTCTCTTGCTGCTTTTAATATTCTCTCTTTGTCTTTTGCTCTTGGAATCTTAATTATGATTTGTCTTGGTGTGGTCCTCTTTGGATTCCTTTTGTTTGGAGTTCTGTGCACTTCCTGGACTTGTAAGTCTAATTCTTTCACCAGGTGGGGGAAGTTTTCTGTCACTATTTCTTTCAGTATGTTTTCGATATCTTGCTCTCTCTCATCTTCTGGGACCCTCATAATTCTGATGTTGGTTTGCTTGAAGTTGTCCCAGAGGTTTCTTACATTATCTTCAATTTTCTGCATTCTCTTGCCTTCTAGTTTCTGCGGAGGAGTCTCTTCTGGCTCTTTATGTTCCAAATCTTTGACTTGATTCTTGTGATCTTCCATTCTGTTTTTAGGACTCTGTATAATATTTTTTATTTCAGACAATGTATTCTTTATTTCTTGTTGATCCCTTATCATTTCTTGTTGATTCCTTATTAATTCTAGTTGATCCCTTTTCATATCCTCAGAGGTCTTATTGATCTTTTGTAGGAAATTCTTGAAAAACCTTATAAGCGTAGATTTGAACTTTATATCCATTCGCTTTTTGTCCTCCATTTCTTTCGTTTGTGATCTATTTTGTCTCAGCACTTTCGCAGCTTTCCTGATGGGGCGGGGTTTCAGGATGGAGCCTACAGCTTTGGCTTTCGTCAGCCCTGCCCTATGCGGCTCCTGAGTCTCAGGGTCCTTCAGTATTCGTTGCAAGCACCTCTGAGAGAAAGGTGCCCTCGATTTTCACCTGCTACCAAACAGTCTAGGCCAGGGATCGGCAACCTTTAAGACATAAAGAGCCACTTGGACCCGTTTCGAAGGAAAAAAAAAAACCTGGAAGCCGCAAAACCATTACGACATTTAAAACAAATATAACACTGCATACATTGTTTCTTACCTTAATGCTACAATATATACCGGATTGTGCAGTTAGCTGTCAATCTGAAGAAAAAAAGGACTTTTTCACTTAACAATGTAAAATATATTTTTGCAAATTAATAGCTAATTAAAATATTTAATTTACCTTGTTAATGGGATTTTTGCTCCTGAACCTCAGTGCACAGTGTCTGCACATCAGGGCTGTAAGACGTTACCTTCATTTTCACACAGGCTTGCAAGTTGTCATCTGTGAGGCGTGATCGATGTTTGTTTTTAATATAGTTCATGTTGGAAAAGACCTGCTCACATACATATGTGGAGCCGAAGATCGACAGGACTCCAAATGCATACTTTTTCATGTTTATATAAGTGTTGGGGATGGCATTCCATGTTTCGAACACAAGTTTGTCCTGTTTGGAAGGTTTTCAATATCACTCCATTTATGATTCTGAGCCAGAATGGCCTTCTGACGGGCAACATCCTCAAGAGTAGCTGCCAAGCATTTGAACTTGGACACCCATATATCTTTGTCGGCTATATCGGCCAGTTCCATCTCAAGATCAGGTTGACTTACACCTGCAAATGCAATCATATTCAATAGGGATGGATCGATCGCCAGGGGAGTGACAGGGAAGGATAATGTGTTTTTTCCCTCTCTGAACTCACAGAATCGTTTCCCAAACGAACTTTGCACAATGCCTCTTGGTGCAGGATGCAATGAAATGAGAGCAGCGTTCTACCCAGAGCCTTCTGCAGTAGAGCCACAAAGCCCCATCAGTAGCCACTGAGACCAGGTGGTTGGTGTTTATTGCGCCTCAGCGTGTGGGGGGTCCGGAGCCAGAGCAAACCGAAAGAGAGCGCCGGTGAGCGCGGCTGCTCCCTTCCCAACCTGCCCCTGCGCCCGCCTCAACAAGTCACCTTTTTAAAAAAAAAAAAACAATTCATCAGGCCCCTAGTATTTTGTAAATTAATTAGTGAGCCATGCATGCCATAAAAATAATTCATCAGGCCTCCCCAATATTCCGTAAATTAAATTAAGTAAATTAAATTAAAAAATGTAAATAATAATTTAATTAATTTATTTATTTTAAAAAAATTTTTTATATAATAGCCACAAATTTCCTACAGTGTACATCTTACAAAAGGACCTGTCTCCCATGCTTAACCAACAACAAAAATTAGTATTAGAGGTGAGTGATACAGCTCCCCGCCTGCCCCCTGCTGTCGGCCCTGCTGGGAGCCGCAGCAAAGGTTCAAAAGAGCCGCATGCGGCTCCGGAGCCACAGGTTGCCGACCCCTGGTCTAGGCTCTCCCCCAATGAGCCCGGTATTGGGGTTCAGTTCAGTTGGAAGTGGAGTTGGAGGTGGCATTCAGAGCAGTCTGGAGCCTCTGTCTCCTTCCCGCCAGGGCAGGCGTCTTCAAACTACGGCCCCCGGGCCACATGCGGCCCGCAGAGGAGTCTGATCCTGCCCGCCAGGTTTTTTGGGCAGTGAGCGCAGCCGAGGTGTTACAGTAGGAATTAGTAGTTCATATAGTCCGGCCCTCCAGCTCTCTGAGGGACCGTGATCTGGCCCCCACTTTAAAAAGTTTGAGGACCCCTGCGCCAGGGCATTCCCTTGGCACAGCCAACCGTCCCTTCTCTGCGCACAATGTGCCCGCCTCCGGGACCTCCTTTCGCTGCTTCCCCGGGGTTCCGCCTTACAGCCCAGCTCCCTCTGGATGAGCCTGGGTCCCCGGGGTCTGGCCCAGAACTGGGGTTCAAAGCAGTCAGAACTGGGGCCCAGCACAGTCCGGAGCTTTTATCTCCTTCCCGCTAGGGAACGCCAGCCAGGCACTCAGCCGCCCTCCTCTCCGGCTCCGTCATCTCCGCGCGCGCTGCGTGTCTCCATACCTCAGGCTTTAACAGCTCCTCTGCTCTTCCTTCTGGTTTTCTCCTTGCTTCTAATTGTAGAATTTCCAGTCAGCCGACTTTCCTGTAGTTCTGGGTAATGTCCATTTTATATTTTAGTTGTATTTTATTGAAATTGTTGTGTGAGTCTGCGGCTAAGTGTTTACCTGTGCAGCCATCTTGGATTCTCCCCCATTTTATTACATTTTTAGGCTAAACTAGTCTTACTTGGGGTTTCTCCTAAAATTTCCCAGATGCTATTGAGATATTGGAGCTGAATCATCTGGAGGCTTGACTAGGATGCTGGGATGGCTGAGCTCTCTTTTTATGCTCTCCCAGTGGTCTCAGGGCCTCTCCTCTCCACATGGTTTCTCTAGCATGATAGCTAGACTTCTTAAAAAAAATACACACACACACACACACACACACACACACACACGAGGCCCGGTGCATGAAATTCATGCAGGGGGCAGGGGTGTCCCTCAACCCAGCCTGTACCCTCTCCAATCTGGAACTCCTCAAGGGATATCTGACTGCCCTTTCACAATCTAGGATTGCTGGCTCCCAACTGCTCACCTGCCTGCCTTTCTGATTGCCCCTAACCACTTCTCCCATGCCAGCTTGATTGATGTCTAACTGCTCCCATGCCAGACTGTTTGCCCCCAACTTCCTTCCTCTACCGGCCTGGTCACCCCTAACTTCCCTCCCCTGCAGGGTTGATTGCCCCCAACTACCCACCCTTGCAGGCCTAGTTCCTCTCAACTGCCTTCCCCTGCTTGCCTGATCACCCACAACTGCCCTCCCCTGCTGGCCATCTTATGGTGGCCATTTCGTGTCCACATGGGGGCAGCCATATTGTGTGTTGAAGTGAAGGTCAATCTGCATATTATTTTTTTATTAGATATATAAAATATTTCTGAGAGGAAGGGAGAGGGAGAGAGAGAGATAGAAACATCAATGACAAAAGAATCATTGATTGGCTGCCTCCTGCACACCCCCACTACTGGGGATTGAGCCCACAACCTAGGCATGTGTCCTGAATGGGATTTGAACTGGTTCATAGGTCAATGCTCAACCACTGAGCCACACTGGCTGGGCCAGACTTCTTTTTTTTTTTTTTTAAATAAATTTTTATTGTTCATATTATTACAAATGTTCCTTTCCCCCCCCTTCTCACCCCACCCTCTGCCCTTTCCCCACCCCCCATTGTCCTCATCCATAGGTGCACAGTTTATGTTCAGTCTCTTCCCTCATCCCCCTCTCCCCTTTTCCCCAAGAATAAACAGTTCACTCCCCTTCCATACCTCTGATTCTATTATATTCAACAGTTAATATTGTTCCTCAGATTTTTTTTTTTTTTAGTTTTCTTGGTTTTTAGATTCACTTGTTGATAGTTACGTATTTGTTGTTCATAATTTTTATCTTTATTTACTTTCTCTTCTGAAAGAACACCCTTCAGCAATTCATATAATTCTGGTTTGGTGGTGATTAAGTCCTTTAGCTTTTTTTTTTATTAGTGAAGCTCTTTATCTGACCTTCGAATCTGAGTGATAGCTTTGCTGGATAGATTATCTTTGGCTGTAGGTTCTTGCTATTCATCACCTTGAATATTTCTTGCCATTCCCGTCTGGCCTGCATGGTTTCTGTTGAGAAATCAGCTGACAATCGTATAGGTGCTCCTTTATAGGTAACTACCTTCTTTTCTCTTGCTTCTTTTAATATTCTCTCTTTGTCTTTTGCTCTTGGAATCTTAATTATGATTTGTCTTGGTGTGGTCCTCTTTGGATTCCTTTTGTTTGGAGTTCTGTGCGCTTCCTGGACTTGTAAGTCTAATTCTTTCACCAGGTGGGGAACGTTTTCTGTCACTATTTCTTTCAGTATGTTTTCGATATCTTGCTCTCTCTCATCTTCTGGGACCCCCATAATTCTGATGTTGGTTTGCTTGAAGTTGTCCCAGAGGTTTCTTACATTATCTTCAACTTTCTGGATTCTCTGGCCTTCTTGCGTCTGCGGAGGAGTGTCTTCTGGCTCTTTATGTTCCAAATCTTTGGCTTGATTCTTGCGATCTTCCATTCTGTTTTTAGGACTCCATAAAATATATTTTATTTCAGACAATGTATTCTTTTTTTTTTTTTTTTTTAATATATATATTTTATTGATTTTGTACAGAGAGGAAGGGAGAGAGATAGAGAGTCAGAAACATCAACGAGAGAGAGCCATCGATCAGCTGCCCCCTGCACACCCCCCACTGGGGATATGCCCACAACCAAGGCACATGCCCTTGACCGGAATCGAACCCGGGACCCTTCAGTCCCCAAGCCGACGCTCTATCCATTGAGCCAAACCGGTTTCAGCCAGACAATGTATTCTTTATTTCTTGTTGATCCCTTATTATTTCTAGTTGATCCCTTTTCATATCCTCATAGGTCTTGTTTATTTTATCGGCCTTTTCTAAGATTCTTGAACAACCTTATAAGTGTGGATTTGAACTCTATATCCAGTCGCTTTTTGTCCATTTCTTTCGTTTGTGATCTATTTGGTTTAGGCATTTTCGCAGGCAGCTTTCTTGATGGGGCGGGGTTTCAGGGTGGAGCCTACAGCCTTGGCTTCTGTCAGCCCCGCCCTATGCGACTCCTGAGACTCAGGGTCCTTCAGTACTTGTTGCGAGCGCCTCTGAGAGAAAGGTGCCCTCGATTTTCACCTGCTGCCAAACTGTCTATGCTCTCCCCCAATGAGTCCGGTATTGGGGTTCAGTTCAGTTGGTAGTGGGATTGGAGGTGGCGTTCAGAGCAGTCTGGAGCCCCTGTCTCCTTCCCGCCAGGGCAATCCCTCGGCACAGCCAGCCGGCCCTTCTCTGCGCGCAGTGTGCGCCCCTCTGGGACCTCCTTTCGCAGCTTCCCCGGAGTCCCGCCTTACAGCCTGGCTCCCTATGGGTGAGCCTGGGTCCCCGGGGTCTGGCCTAGAATTGGGGTTCAGAGCAGTTGGAGCTGGGCCCAGCACAGTCGGAGCTTTCCTCTCCTTCCTGCTTGGGACCACCAGCCAGGCACTCGGCCTCCCTCCTCTCCGGCTCTGTCCTCTCCACGCGCGCCGCGTGTCTCCGTACCTTGGGCTTTTACAGCTCCTCCGCGCTTCCTTCTGGTTTTCTCCTTGCTTCTTGTTGTAGAATTTCCAGTCAGTCGACTTTCCTGTAGTTCTGGGTAATGTCCATTTTATATTTTAGTTGTATTTTGTTGAAATTGTTGTGTGCGGCTGCGGCTAGTTGCCTACCCGAGCAGCCATCTTGGATTCTCCCCTGGGCCAGACTTCTTAAATGGTAGTTTAGGACTCCCCCAAAGCAGAAGTTTCCAAGCTTTTTTAAATTGTATGTCCAGAATTAGCCCAACATAACTTTGATATATTTTACTGATGAAAGAGTCACAGGGTCAGCCTAAATCAAGGGAAGGGGAAATTGACAAAGAATTATGGTCATCTTTAATCCACCATAAGAACTGTGGACCTATACTACTTTTTCCTCATTTTACAGATGAGGAAATCTAGACGCAGAAGAATCTAAGCAACCTTTCAAGGTCACCCAATTAGTATGAACACAGGGAGTCTAACCCAAGAGCTCAGGATATTAGCCACTTCTTCTTCTTCTTTTCTTTTTTTTAAAAATATATTTTATTGATTTTTTACAGAGAGGAAGAGAGAGACAATTAGAAACATCGATGAGAGAGAATCATCAATCAGCTGCCTCTTGCACACCCCCCACGGGGATGTGCCCGCAACCCAGGTATATGCCCTTGACTGGAATTGAACCCGGGACCCTTCAGTTCGCAGGCTGACGTTCTTATCCACTGAGCCAAACTGGTTTCAGCAAGGTATTAGCCACTTCAGTAAACTGCTTCACACTATTAATCACAGTGGTTGTCATGACACAATGTCATCTTTCTTCATGTGTATCCAGGCCACTTTTGACTGAGGAACATATGACAGACAATGATTTTCCACCATCCTACCACTAAAAATTTCTCATTTCTGATAGATTCTTTTTAAAAATCTTATTTCTTTAAATTATAGTGCCACTGTAACCGTTTTTTAAATGTACAGTTCAATGGCATTAAGTACATTCACACTGTTGTGTAACCATTTCTTATAGATTCTTAAGTGAACTAAGTAGCTGAGCACATTGCTTTTTCTGTGTTCTTCTCTGAGCAGGACTTGATAAGAGCAGGACCTTGCTCCTTTATTTTCTGTGTCAAGTATGATATGCAGCACAATGCTCAGTGTCAAATCCAAAAAAATAAAACCTCCTTTCCTATCTCCCATTCTTCTTTTTGTTAGCAAGAGTGGAACTTATAAGGACCTAGGTAGAATGTGTACAGTCTGCCCATGTCCACTTACCCTCTCCCTGTTCCTCATTGACTGTTACTGTCCTAAAAGCTTGAGTTGGAACCTATTAGAGGCAGCACCTCTACTCTAGATTCAAGCTGTCATCTTGTTTAGAGGAATCCTAATAATAAAAGCCTAATTTGCAAATTGACCGAACCGCAGAATGACCAGTCTCTATGATGAGCACTGATAATCAGGGGGCAGACACTCAATGTAGGAGCTTCCCCCAACCCTCAGGCCCCAGAGTGCCAGCAGGGGAGCCCCCAGTCGCCCTGCTAGTCACCTCCCGACAGCAGCGGGGGACAGGGACAGCAAGCAGGTGGCGCCAGGTGGCCAAGGTGGATGCCAGCAGGGGGCCCGCCTGGTCACCCCACTGATCAGCCTTGATCTCCAGCCAGGCCCAAGGACCCAACCCATGCACGAATTTTGTGCGTTGGGCCTCTAGTGAGATATTATCTTTATTATCCACTCATGAAAACATTCTGTGAAGATTTTTTTACAGAGAGAAAGGGAGAGAGATAGAGAGAAACATTGATGAGATAGAAACATCGATCAACTGCCTCCTGCACATCTCCCATGGGAATGTGCTTACAACCAAGATACATGCCCTTGACCGGAACCAAAGCTGGGACCCCTCAGTCCACAGGCTGATGCTCTATCCGTTGAGCCAAACCAGTCAGGGCACATTCTATGAAGATTTTGAGGATTTGGGTTTCATCTTTATTCCCCAGCATTTTCCATGTGTTTTTTCAGAACCCCCGAGAAAATAACCTAGGTCTATTTTATTTACTCTGGACTTTAAGACTTTTAAGATCAACCCTTCATAAATGACTATAAGAAAGAGCAGTTTCCTCATGTGAAGGCCCTAGAATGCCTGGCATGCCCAGTAGCTTAAGAGTGCTCATTGGAGTGATTCAACAAAAAGATATTATTTACAGGCAATCTCTGTCATAAGCTCACAGGAATCTGGACAATTGGCACTTAGCCTAACTTGCTTTTCATCTCTCTGTTCCCCACAGCTGGCTCCAACTGGAAGCGCTTCCCTACACAACTCCATGGCTGTCATTCAGAATCCTGTAAAGGTCTGTGATCAGGTATTTGCCCTGATTGAAAACCTTACTCACCAGATCCAGGAACGGATGCAGGACCCCAGATCTGTAGGTGGGTATGACTACTATCTTCTCCTCAAGGTTTTAGGTATGAATGTGTTTCTCAGATACTCCTGTGTCCTCTCGCTTCAATGACAAGACATCCTCATCCCTCTAATTCTGCTTCAGATTTGTTAGGATCTTTTGTTAGAGGTAAGTCTTGGCTTCTCTGACTGTCTGTCTTCCTTCCAGATTTGCAACTCTACCATAGTGAGACACTAGAGCTAATGCTACAGCGTTGGAGCAAGCTGGAGCGTGACTTTCGACAGAAGAGTGGACGCTATGATATCAGTAAGATCCCTGACATCTATGACTGTGTCAAGTATGATGTGCAGCACAATGCGAGTCTGGGACTTCAAGGCACAGCAGAGTTGCTACGTCTCTCTAAGGCATTGGCTGATGTGGTCATTCCCCAGGTGTGTCAAGTAGAAGGGGTCTAACCTGGGGATAGGGGCATTGGGTAGGAAAGGAGAGAAAAGGTAGAAAGGAGGGGTGGTATCGGAACCAGAGGAAGGAAACTTAGAGAAGGAATTAAGCTCACAGGAATCTGGGGAATTGGCAGATTGAGTTGCTATAATTCTCAGGGTCTACTCTGGCTCTGAGTAAGTATAACAGACTAACTGAGGAGAAACCTGGAGAGGGGGAATATGGTGGATATGAAAGAAGCCCTAGACCTGAGGTGAAGACAAGCTTGATCTTGAGTCTGAGAATATGAGGCAAGAGGAAGACAGGATTCATTGAGGTACTTATTCCTGGCCTATGGCCCCTAGGAGTACGGGATCAGTCGGGAGGAGAAACTGGAAATTGCCGTGGGCTTCTGTCTTCCACTGTTGCGGAAGATACTACTTGACCTGCAGAGAACCCACGAGGATGAGTCTGTCAACAAGCTGCATCCCCTGTGAGGGAGGGCTGGGAGGGGATCTGGATGGAGGGAGGGGCATGTCAGGGGAGCCATTAGGGGGATCCAGACTGGGACAGCTTGGGGAACCAGGAATAGAAGGAAGGGGTACTGGGATGGAAAGGAGAGAAGTCTTTGAGGGGGAGGGAGAAGTTTGTGGAGGGGTGGGAAGATTCCGGATATTTCGATCGTGTGAGTGACTTAGCTATTATCTCAGGTATTCCCGAGGAGTGCTCTCCCCAGGCCGCCACGTCCGAACACGTCTCTATTTCACCAGTGAAAGCCATGTCCACTCCCTGCTCAATGTCTTCCGTTACGGGGGACTTCTGGATGTAAGGATCTTTCTTCTTCCTTCTGCCTATGAACATCTTTTTTCAGCATTCTTCTACTCTCCTTCTCATGTTTGAGTTTTTTTGTTTTGTTTGTTTGTTTGTTTTTCTGCAAGCTTTCTCTGTTCTCCTTGTCCCCCTGCCCTCCCCAGACTCCCTTGACAAGCATCGCCTTACTTCTTGTGTTCGGCAGGAAACGAAGGATGCACAATGGCAGCGAGCTTTGGCTTATCTTAGTGCCATCTCGGAGCTCAACTACATGACCCAGATTGTCATCATGCTCTATGAGGACAACACACAGGTGAGGAGCTAACGGGATGGGATGAGGAGAGGGTCCCGTCTTTCTCCTCCATCCTCTCTTAGGAAAAAACTTTTTTAGCCTTGGAATTTGTCGAATCCATCCAGGTGTGGCACTTAGGTACAGCATGACACAGAGCACCTAGAGGTTCCTACTGGAAAAGAAAAGGTATTTTGGGATATTACGGAGCCAGAGATATACCACAGAACATAGCTCTGGTATTAGGGAGAGTATGGAATTTGGGACATGTTATAATGATTTTTCCCCTCTCAAAAATCTTTAAATATATACCTTCTTCATCTTGCTGCACAAAGATATCTTAAAATGTCCTGCTATATGCACTGCAGCAAAGCTGAATTGGTGTGGAAGATGGATTGGGAGAGTCGTAGAAGTGGGAGTTGTAAAGTCATGCCAAGCGGTTAATCTCAAACAGTAGAAGTGAGGGACTGAGGATCCTGTAGGTAAGTCTGGACTATCATTAAAGGAAAGCGCTAATAAACCAGCTCCAGAGGGAAGTAAGACACCGAAACCTCAGCCCCGGGAGGATATATTCTCCCGAGTTCCTCTCTATTGTCCCTGCCTTGGTCTTCCACCCCCATATCCAGTTCCTTCAACTGCCCCTTCATTTGGTGATGCCCCACAGGATCCCTTATCAGAGGAACGATTCCATGTGGAGCTGCACTTCAGCCCCGGAGTGAAAGGTGTCGAGGAAGAAGGCAGTGCACCCACTGGCTATGGATTCCGTCCAGCCTCCTCTGAGGTGGGTCAGAGAGCTGGGTTTGGGACTGGAGGATTTAGGAACCAAGTGGTTGGGAAACTTGGAAACAGTACAGTGAGGTAAAAGGTTTGGGAAGTCTGAGATCAGGAGCCTGGAGCCATTAATATGTCTCCTGTGCCTGTTGTTGCATAGAATGAGGAGATAAAAACCGACCAGGGCAGCATGGAGAACCTGTGCCCACAGAAGGCATCAGATGAACCAGACCGTGCACTGCAGACTTCACCCCAGCCCTCTGAGGGTCCTGGCCTCCCAAGGAGATCACCCCTCATTCGTAACCGAAAAGCTGGCTCCATGGAGGTAATGGGAGGGGCTAGGGAGGAAGAAGTGGTGAAGTGCTCATAGGACAATATCCCTGAATCCTCTGAATCCCCTTGAGGGACCTTAAGCAGAGTCCTCCTACCCCTGATGGATATGTTTTACTTAATCTCTTTTTCAAAGCCAGTCTCCCAGGAATGCTTTAAACTGGTTGCTACTCCGGAGGTTCAAGAGATGCTAGTGAGAGGTGCCTGAGAGAGAAGGATTTTAAGAGATGAGCATGAGGAGGAGGCCTCTGGATGAAGTTAAAAAGGCATTCTTAAGAAGGAAGTCCAGTAGAAACAGTATGAACTCTGGTCTAAAATTGCAGTCCAATACTTAGAAGCTGTGTGACCACCAACAATTAACTTCTCCAAGCCTCAACTTCTTTTCGTCTATAAAGTATAAGTAATATCCACCATATAGATGCTCAGTAAACAGTACTTACTATGAAAACAATGCAATTGATATTAAAGGCTAAGCCCTCTCCATCTCTTTTTTGCCTTGGGTAAAAATTATAGCTCAACAGGAGCAAATACATGGTACTTTAAATTAACCCTTTTAGTCCAGCCGGTGTGGCTCAGTACATTGAGCATCAGCCCAGGAACCAGGAAGTCACTGTTCAATTCCTGATTAGACACATGCCCGATTGCAGGGTTGATCCTAATAGGGGGCATGCAGGAAGCAGCCACTGATGTTTCTTCTATCTATCTCTCCCTCTCCCTTCCTCTCTCTGAAATCAGTAAAAACATATATATATTTAAAATTAATCCCTCTAGGATTATCTATACTCTCATACTAGAAAGGGAGCCAAGGCTGACAGTCTGTGTTCCCCTTGTTCTAATGAGAAGGCTTATGGCCACGGGCCTGTGTTCTGCTGTTCTTGGAGTTTGTCTCTAGTCCTGGTTCTAGTTCTGTAGCCCAGAGGAAGGAACTGTTGTAAATCTCACAAGTATCTAGCTAACCTTTCTGGGATTTTGGTCTGTTTATCATGGAAAGATTCTTTTCCTTTTTGGCTCTGTTACACTCTTTTTGACTCCATAATTTATCCGGGTCTCAGGGACTCTGTCTGATTTGAGACCTGTTTTGATAGGTGAATCTGTTCACCTATCTGTGTGCCAGCTCTGTCTTAAAGGAATTGGTCTTTCCATTTTAGGGATATCTCAGAGTAATCTATAACTAGCTTACGTAGGTTCAGCAAGAGACTTACAGTTGAGATTTTGGAGAAACCTGAGAAGACAAACCAGTCTGTGTTCTGAACTCATCCTTTTCTTCCTGAAGATTTTAAAGTGGATTTGAAGTTGTGAATACTGTTTCTTTGGGTGGGGTATGCATCATTTTCTCTCAGAGGTGTAAGTTAACTTAGTGTCCACAGTAACTAGTACCCTTCAGGTTCATGTGAATAGATCCAATGGATAGAATGACATAATCTTTCATCTATAAACTGCTCCTCCACCTGTAAAAGTCTTCCCATTCACATAGTCTGCAGAGTCTCTGGCATTGTTGTACTTTACCCCCCTTTCCTTCTGGTTTAAGCAGTTAAGAGACATAGGAAAAGCAGAGCCCTCTGTGTAACACATCTCAGATTTGATGCGATTGACATTTCCTCCAGGCCTATAGGAAGTTTCCTGTAGTGATCACATTTCTTTCTTTCAATTATCAGTGTAGCTTATCCAGGATAATGGTTGCTCAAGCTGTGCTTCTTCAATTTGCAAGAAAATCTTCTGTCTTCTCCCTGGTCACACAGCCTTTTAATATTAATATATCCTCTCCTTGTTCTATATTATCCCTATAATTACAAACACCCCCATCCCTTCTTTTCCTCTTGTGTTGGACTATTTCAGAATACAAAATCTGTGACCTTCATTTTCTCCAGCCCTATAATTAGGTCAGCCCAATAGGCACTGGGGCCTTCGGGAGCCTGGGGGTTAAAGGAGCCTTGACCGGCTTTCCACCCGGTCTGATTTCAGGTCATGAACATGCAGTGCACAGGGAACCTGGACCTGATCCCCTTGCGGGGACGGCGCCGCCGGAGGTCAGGAGACCTCCCCCGGCCTTCCCCAGCCATCAGCCTACAGCCCCGGGCTGTGTCCACCACTCACCTGGCGTCCTGCACACAGGTGTTCCTCCCTGCTTCATCTTCCTGTTCTGCCTCTGCCTTTGCCTTTTGGGATTTAGGGATTCAGATCACTGTTGGGGTTGGGGTGGGTATATGTATGTGGGGGGATGTATGATTGGACCCTTATGGGATTTTTAGAAATCAGTTTCATGTCTCTAAAAGTGGAGGGGCGGGCTTCTTGGTTCAGATAAGAGACTGAGTAGTTTCCATAGCCACAGCTATTTTGTGGAAAGAAGAGAGGGCCAGACTTTATTTCTTATTGTAGCTGAGCTGTTGTCATTGGCTTGATGAGTCCTGCAGAGAGACATGATATTAAGGAACCCTGCTCTGCTGAGAACTGAGAATGGTTGAATAATGATTTCTCAGATTTGGGATGGGAGGGGTAGGGGCACAGGCATCTTGGAAATAGAAGGATTCTCTGGACAGTTTCCTTTTGCTCTGCAAACTACACTGTTTGCTTTTCTTCTAGCTCCTCCTGAAAAAATCCTTTGGTTCTTCCAAACTTTCTGACATTGCTTTGCTTTGTAGGAGCAGGAATTCAGGATCTGATGAGTTGAAGTGGCAAATGGTAACACAGAGTCCTTTTTCTCCAGGTGCTTTCCGAGACTTCATCTTCCAGGCCTGGCGGCTACCGGCTCTTTCTGTCTTCACGGCCACCTACGGAGATGAAGCAGAGTGGCCTAGGTATGGTTTTCCATCTTCTCTCACCTGTTGTTGGGAAAGGGTGTATGTCTGTTCTTCAGAGTTTTATTGTGGGAATAGGGGTCACCCAGTCAGCAGAATTGTCTGGTGGGGCTAGGGAGGCTGCATTTGGAGAAGCCATAGTTAGGTGTGAGCTTTGATCCCAGATGACTATTTCCATTCCAGGAAGGTGTTTGTCTTCTGATTTTCTATACCAATCCCCCTTTCTCTGGCTGAAGGGCATTTTCTGGCTTCTCTCATTTCTTATCTGTCCCTCCAGTCTAGCCCAGACCTTCAGGGGCCATGGAGACTCTGAATTTTCCGAGTTATCAGAGACAGAGCTATGAATAGAGGTACTCATGAACCCTCTAAGGGTCATACTCCTCATGTGGAGAATTTGTGCCATGTATTTCTCTGCGTTCTATGTTTATTATATCCTTGCTCTGGCCTTCCTACCTCCATGCCCTCTCCATCATTTCTCCTAATCCTGTAATGTTTTTTTCCTTCCTTCCTGAAAATTGAGGGACAAATCTGAGACTGGTATAGTGGCAGAGGCTTCTCTCAGGACTTGGAGGGAATGTCTCTTGATTTTTTTTTTATTCCTGGAGAGGGGTGGAGGACATCATTCAACCTTTCCTCAGAACACAGACTGCAGGAAGGACCAAGCCTCAGAGGGTATTGTATTCTTTGGGAGTGGGGAGTGGTCCTGGGGAGGGGCTATCTTTGAACACAGTGCCTGTGAACCAGTAACTAAAACGGCAGTTAGCCATAATTGTGTGGTCCCCTGGCTCTTTTTTCTTATCCCGTATTCTCCCCATTTAGCTCCTTTGGTTTTTCTGTTACCTTTCTTTTTGGCAGCCAATTTCTTGGCCCCAAAACGGTCAGCATTTGGACAAGCAGAGAAAGATTTTGGTTACTTTCCAGGCTAATTTTATGGGAGTAGGTTGCCTTTTAGATCCCTGAAGTGAGATAGAAGGTATGGGTCATGAAAAGTAAATCACAGATGTATAGATCTGTGATACAGACTTCTCATCCCAGAAATCCCAGTAAAGAATAGGCTTCAGGGAGGCTTGAAAAGAGGATAGGTGTGCCTGGCGCAGTTAAGTGGGAGTGAGGTCATGAACAAGGCAGAGGTATCGACATGGTGATGGACAGATGGTGTTGGTGAGGTGGAGACTACCCTCTGAGATGATCCAAGGTCTGAGCAGGACATGACGGCAGGACTCCACCAGAAAATTATTTAGTAGAGTAAATAAAAAAGCTTCTGGTGGTTGGGGGCAAAGCCAGCTAGTTTCAGCTTCTCTGGAGAAAAACAGACAATTTAGCAACCCTTATCACTTTCTGAAACCTCATTCTAGCGCCTGTGTGAGAACGAAGGTAGAAGAAGTTGCTGCATAGAAGAGCAATCCTGAAGTCAAGGGTGGAGATTACCAGCCATCTGAGCTTTCTTAATTTCTGTGGTGACACCAAACCTCTGGGACCCCTGAAACTATGGCCCTTACTTTGTGGGATCGAAAGCAACTGACCTCCTCCCTACTTTACTCATCTTCCTATGAATATTAAGTTCTCAAGCCAAACCCAGGGTCTTGTCCAAGATGGATTTGGAAGTAGAGGGGCAAATGCCACAAACTTGGATGTTAGTCTTGTCTCTTCCTTCCCACTCTGTCCTCATGGGCTATATATAGTAGGAGAAGGGACTATGAGTCCCAATACCACTCTTGATCAGATATTTGGGACAATGACTGACTTGATTTATTTGTTTCAGAGATTTTTCAAGTTATTTATTTCTCGGATTGCCAATAGAGTTCTCTTAGATTTCTTTGGACATCTGATTTTGAGCATAGGGCTTAAAAGACAAACTTCTGAGAGCAGGGAAAATCATCTTTTTTTGTGGTTTCCTGCTCACTAGGTCCTCCTTAGTAGGGTGCTCAGCACATAGGAGGCATACCATACATATAATCACCTGACATTTCACATGCCTTTCAATTTGGGTCCATCTTCACTTCAGAAACAACCTGTTTCTTCTTGATGAAAACAACTTTTCCCCCCTTAATTGAACACAGTTGATCCTCAGGGTCATGAGTTCTGGATTCTTGTCCAGCTCAGCTCCTAACAAACTATATGATCTTGAGCAAATGAGGTCCCTTTTGAATCTCAGTGTCTTCATCTATAGAATGAGAAGGCTAAACTGGATAATTTTTGGAGTCCCTTTCGGCTTTAAAAATTCAATGGATCTCATTCTTTCTTGGAAAAGGTAAAAAGGCCTAAGCGGAGATAGAAGGGAAGGAATGTTAGATGAAAAACTTAGGAAAAATTGGAACTTATGAGAATTTGGGATTTGAGCTGAGTGCTCAATTCTTAGTCTCTAGTTTCAATCAAAGTTCTTTACTTTTAAGCCTATAAGGGGTTAAATATCTGGGTTTTTTGAATCTTATATCTAGAGTAAGGAACATGGAATCAAATCTAGGGATATATAGAGTGATTGACTATTCTTTTAGCATTCCCAAGAGCCATATGGAAAGCATAGTCTACCTCTTTCAGTAGCTTTGAGTCCCCTAATATCACTAACCCTGCATTGTAGTGGTCCCTTGTATCAGCCATGTAGATATTCAGGACAATCCCTACTTTGCTTGCTGAATACAGCTATGAAAGTAGTGAAAGCTGTTTGTGGCTGTTTGTAGTAGCCACAAGATCGTGGTTCTGAATGGCTGTGTGTGTGTCTTGATGTTGTCATGTGACTTTGTGTGTACTTCTGTGTGGTAATTGCAGCTTTGCGTGGCTACTAATGCACTCCCGGCCTTGCAGGCTCACAGTGCACAGGGCTATTCAGCACCACAGTGCTGGGTGGCTCCTCCAGCGCCCCGAATCTTCAGGACTACGCCCGCAGCCATGGCAAAAAGCTACCGCCTGCCAGTCTGAAGCATCGAGATGGTATGTGGGTGGGTTTGGGGGAGCTACTCTTTTCTTCATTTGTCCTCCAGCAAGGACATGGTTCAAGTACTATTCATGCTTACTATGGCATTGATGCTGGCCTTATACCAAGTTTATTAATCAATTATAGAGGAGAGAAGGAACCAAGGCCTCATGCACCTCCATTTGCACTCTCTCTCACCATACAAGTATTACTTATTTATGCTTATCCCTTCATAATCTCCCACATACAGCCCTGCTACATCAGTTTACTCCGCCTCTGTATTCTTTCCTGGATTCTGGTATTTAGGGGTAAGAACAAAGGAGGATGATCAGGAAGAATGTAGTGGAGCTTTGATTAAAATACTGGAAATCAGGGATGGGGAAGTTGTTTAGCAAAGGCTGGAAAGATGATATGGAAAGAGACTGGGGGAAGGAATGAAAGTCTCTACAAATATTTTCCTTCTAAATGATGAAAAAGAGGATGTGGTGGTGAAATTAGACTTGTTTGTAGGGCTGTATTGTGGTAGAGATGACACATGGATTCCTAAAGAGAGATACCAAAGGGGGAAAAAATTGAAATGTGGTAGTCAGGAATCTAAGGGTGGGGGTGGGAGCAGGTCATATACTAACTGTATAGAATAGAGTATATTACTGGCAAATTCCAGAGCAGAGGGTGGGGGACAGGTGTGGGTATAATCCCCATGATGTCTTTTCTCCCCAGAGTTCTTGTTTGTCCCGGCCGTAAAAAGATTTTCTGTGTCGTTTGCAAAGCATCCGACTAACGGTACGTTTGCTTCTGATTCAGTGTCATTCATCATTGCCTTGTCACCTCCAGACACTTAACCTCTGAGCTCTGACACGATTGTTCCTCTCCTACCACTGTGTCAACACCCTGCTGTCTGAATGAAACACTCACTAAGTGTCCCTCTTGGGACATATCCCTTGTGTGACAAACCTTAGCCTTGGCTGAAGCCTGGCTGCCCTATCCCTGTAGCAACTTAGGGTATTACTTCCATGGTCACCATCATTACCACTGTGTCACTTTTTTCAGCACCATCACCAAAACATTCAGTCTCTCTCTTCCCCATCACATGACTGCTGGGCTTTGTACAAACATGACAATGATTCCCCATCTTAAGAAGAAAATAGTATTTCCTGTATTATCCTTATTTCTTTTCTCCAGCCCCAACCCCAGAACTCAGTTTATGTAATTTTTAAAAAATATATATTTTATTGATTTTGTACAGAGAGGAAGGGAGAGAGATAGAGAATTAGAAACATCGATGAGAGAGAGTCATCGATCAGCTGCCTCTTGCACACCCCCCACTGGGGATATGCCCGCAACCAAGGCACATGCCCTTGACCGGTATCGAACCCAGGACCCTTCAGTCCCCAAGCCGACGCTCTATCCACTGAGCCAAACCGGTTTCGGCCAGTTTATGTAATTTTTATCTTCTTTTTTTTTTTTTTTCTCCAACTCTTTTATTAGAGTGGATCCCTAGTTTGTTTCCTTCAGGAGCAATGCTGCAGTTCCCAGCTCCCAAACCTACCTATAAGGACATTGGTCTTGAGTATATAGTTTCCCATCTCCATATTCCTGTGTACGTGTGGTTCTTGTGCTCCTGACATCTGCTTTATGTTACTACTAACCTAGGGCCTGGGCTTAGAAAACAGGAGCCCAGGTTAATCTGGGGGGGAAAAAAGAGAAAAAGAAAGGAGTAGGAGATAGTAGGTAAAGGAAAAAGAATTATACCTTGAGTTTTTACATGTGGTCTCCATATAGCCCTAATCTACCTTGGCACTGCTGTCTCAAGCTTGAAGTGATGGGTTGAGATGTCTACTGGGATTCTAGGGGAACTTAGGAGTGAATAATCTAATAATATTTCAAGAATATTGAAGAACTGGGTCTATCCACACTAAGATGGGAGACCACAAACTGAAGGCTGTGCTCTCTCTGTAGGCTACGGTAGGAGAACCCCAGGACTTAATCCCTGTCTTATCTTTTATATCTTTTTAAATTTATTTTAGAGAGAGGGAAGGAGAGAGAAGGAGAAAGAGAGGGAGAAAGAGAGAAAGATTAATGTGAGAGAGAAACATCAGTTGTTTGCCTCCCACATGTGCCCTGACAAGGATCAAACTCACAACCTGGGTATGCGCCTTGATCAGGAATTGAACCCACCATTTTTTGGTGTATCAGATGATGCTCCGACCAACTGAGCAATATAAATTTTTTAATAAAAACAATTCTACAGCATTGTCACCTGGCAATAATATAAGGGTAATGAAAGCAATATTAATAAATGTTTAACTATACTCCCAACAAAGGATATCTACAAAACACAAATTGCTTCTCAACAATTTCTCACTTTGTTAGTCATTTTTAGTTGGAGACACTTTAGAGCAGAGTAATATCTCCTTTTAGCATGATCCAACCTAGTTGTTTTCTTGACTTTTTTTTTTTTTAGAATGAATCTCTTCTACATCATCTAATACGAGGTTCATATATTCTCCAAAACCAATGATGTAGCCCTTTATCTGCATAAACACTTGCTCAAAAAGCCATACCTGAATCCGAGATCTGTTTTGCAAGGATCTGAAGATGAGATTGATGGGCTGCACCATCACCTGCAGCATTTGGTCCTGACCACGGTACACCATAGTGGAAAGCTAACAAAGACCACACTGAGCCATGTGCTACCTCAGAAAGCTAAATCTGGAATCTATCCTTTATATCTTTAGTTTTTTTGTGCAGTGTCTCTTGTCTTCAAGATAAATCTAGTTTTGTTATATATAGTTTTCTTCTGTCCAAGCACTGAGATTTTCTGAGGGAGGTAAACTTAGCCTGGCTTTCTGGCTGGAAAATCCTCCAGGTACGGATCCTCTCTTTTCCTCAGCCAGTGGCAGCTGCTAGATTCTAGCCTTGTTAGGCCATGCATCTCCACTCGGCACTGCTGAAATCTCCCCAGCTTGACCAGCTAATACTTGTTATACCCCACCCAAGCTCCCACTTGTGCCTGTGACAGGAGCTCTCTATTAAGAGTGGCATGGCTGTACCTTAACTTTTAGCTTCACACTCTTCTGGCCTTCATGTGCCACAGTCTTCTCCAGAGTAGATCCTCTGTACTAACCCCAACCTCACAGCCTGGGACTTGGACATGGAAACATGTTTCTTAGGGTACAGAATACAGTACCAGGAACTTGGGCCCCTGAAGTCAGAGTTCAATTACAGATCTCCTAATTCTTGGGCTCTAGCAGAAAGTATCCAAATTCATAAAGCAGATCCTCAAACCTATATACCTCTAATTCCCTGAAGCCTTGATTAGCAGCCTCATCAGTTGAAAAAAAGAAAAATTAATTCTTCCGAAAGGAGGAGAGGAAGAAAGTCCTGGAAAATTCAGGAATAGTGTAGGAGGACAAATTCAAGATCGCTTCCAACACCCTGCACAGTTTCTCAGGGGCCTTCTGGCCTTTGTTCTTCTCATATTTGAGCTTGGGGGCTACAGTGCTTGAGAACCAGAATCTGGGATCTAACTCTTGGCAATAGAAATTTAGACCTATTATATCTCTTGCTGAAAATTATCTAGATTTAATTTGGCCCTCTGGACAATATGAGAGCTCTACCCCATGGCCAAATCTTGCTTGACTGACTGAACAATTACAGAGTGCATGTGCTGCCTGCAATTGCTTATGGCAGATTCGTCACAACATTATGTGACTTGCATTAGTCTATTGTCCCATCATGGCAACAAGTCTGGCTTTGAAATAACAGCTAGAAAAACTGGGCCTTGCTTTAGAAGAGGGGCAAGGGAATCCTGTCTCCTTGCTTTGATGGGAGAACACCTCTCAGCCCTCATTGCCTCTTCCTGATAAGCCTTGGTCACATCCTGACTATGTCAAGTATACAAATACGGCCCATTACTCTACTGCACACTGAACTCACCAAAGTCAACTAGTGTTGGAAAAGAGACTGTGGCTCACTCTTATCCAGAATGTCAGAGTGTGCCAATTGTATTTGCCACACCCATTTATTTTCTAGGGACAGTTAGTGCTTGAATAGAGCTGAAAACTCTCCTGACATTCAAACTAAGGTCTCTGGAAACCATAGTTACATGGGCTCACTCCATGTCACAAGTTCTGGCCTGGGAGTTCTGAGCGGTCATCCTCAGCTACTTTGATCCTACCTTTACTGTACCAACATCCTGTCATCAGGTCTTAAGACCCTGTATCTTTTCCCCAGGATCTTTTCCCTACTGTTCCTGGGGCTTCTACATGCCTTTCACTATCTTCAACCTTTTGCAGCTGAATCACATATGTCCACAAAGTTTGCCAAACATATAAAATAATAACTGGTTCAGGACTGAAGCTTTTCCACTGACCAGCTGAACAAAATGCAATTAGACTCACCAGGAGTAGGAAGAAAATACAAAATTATCTAACTTTTGGCTTCTGTAATGGATACAGTATCTCCAAAGTCCTGAGATTTATGCAAACATTTTTGAGTCTATATATTTGAACAAGAGTAAAAGATGATTAGCCAGTAACAGCATTTTCACATATTGATTCCACTTTTTAAATGCTCTGTTTTACATAGGCTTTCCTGCCAATCTCCTATGCCAGCTGTCTAAAAACAGCCATAGCTGTGGCTGTCTTAGAGTCTGATTCAGAGAGCCTGCCCTGAGGCCTTGGGGAGCCTTTTTGGCTTCAAACTTTATCTTGATAACCCTATACCATTCTTGGCCTTCTTCTCTGACTGACTTTGAGTCTTTTCATCTCTATCCCAATCTCATAAATATATTAGACTGGGAAGTGGGACCTATCTGGAGTTTGTCTAAGAATGATCTGGGATACTGGACCTCTAGACAGGGCTCCCACAGAACTCCAAAGCCAGCTTACCCCCATCCAGAGTGATGTGACTTCTGTCTGCCACTGAATTATGCTCAGTGAGAAAGGGGAGGGCCTTCCTGTCTGATGAGGTCTCACCAGCCCCTTCTTTTAAACTTACTGTGCGATGCCAACCCTCTTCTTTCCTGCAAGAGATGCCCAGTGGCTCTGACCATCTCTGCTTCTTTCTCAGCTCACTTTTGAGCTGAGTGGCTCCACTTCCCAGTAATGCTTGTGCCAGTCAGTGCCCCCCTCATTGCTCTCCCTCTTCTCTTTCTTTATCTTTGTGCTTCCTGCCGTGGTGCCCCTACCCCCTGCAGAGCTGCTGGATGACCAGCACCCTGTGGTCCGGTTGCTGCGCCGTATTTCCTCTGACTGCCCAGGGGGCCAGCCAGTCTCCTTGGATGCCACGCTGGCGCATCACCTGCACCAGTGCTCCTACCACCTGCGCCTCTTCCGGAACTGGCTGCGCTCAGGCCAGGATGACCCCGAGTGCCTCTACGGTACCCCCTGCCACCAAGCTGGCTGCTGCCACTACCCTGGCTGAGACTGACTGCTTTGCTTATTGCACTTCTGGCAGGAGAGCCCACTTATTCCTTTCTTTTATTTACCCTTAGGTTATGTGACTTGCATTTTAGTTGCTTGGATGGGATTGGGGCCGGACTGCCTGGTAGTGATAGCATTGGCTGCTCATTCCTTCCTCACTGCCTCCTAATGCTACCCGTTCCCAATGCTGTTCAGTGCAGGGTTAGTTTCTTGCTCTGGATTCTGTTCTTATCTCTATAACTTCTACTACCACCATCTTCAAATCCAAACATTTTTCTACTCGCTCTGCGGATCTAGAGACTATACCTCTCTTAGTCTGCCTACCATCTACCCCCTAGAATACAGGGGGGAAGTTGAGGCACAGAGATCTCAGTTGAATCCTTGAAGCAAACAAGCAAACAAGAGCCAGAGGTTAGAAGATAATCAGGTATAATTCTTTTGATGTTTTAGTCATTAGTGAACAGGAGGCTATGTCTTGCATAGATATTGTTGACCTCCCTACTCTTAGTTCACTTAGGGAGACATAGAAGAGGCATGGGAAAGATTTGGGACTGAAAAAGTGGTTGGGATGTGTGCTACTTGGTTCTCCAATGGGAAAATTTTTCAATAGGTCCTGGTATTAGGTTATACATTTAGGTTTGCCCTGTATCCTAACTCAGAGTGGTGGGCCTACATTGGAATTATTGGGTTCAGAGCAGAGAATCAATATTTATTATTTCTCCTAAGGGGGTTTCCTCATTTTCCTGATGGGATTAAAAAAAAATCCCAACAAATCTAGGGTCTTCCAGTGAGAACAGAAGGGAGAACCTTTGATGTGATGGAAATGACCAAGAAAGAACTTCCATTCCCCAGCCTATTCATGCATGTGATTTTCCTGGGCTGAGCTCCATATGTATTGCATGATCTCCAGCTTGCTTCCAAATATTCCCGCCTTTCTATCCATATCCTAAATCTGCATGAACCCCTTCTCAGATTACATGCCCTCCACCTTAATCTGGTTCTCTTATACATGAACCCTGAAACCTGCTATTTCTTTCCACCTCCATGCCTCCCTAACCTCATTTAGACCTACAATTTCACCCGTTACCTACGGACTTTTGTTTTATTTCCCCAGAAAGTATAAAAGCAATGTAGGAGTTTACCCTATTGGGATTCTGTTTATTTTTCCACCAGACATTGCAGGCTCTCCATAGGTAGGCTGAGAAGTGATTTGATTCACCTGGAGGCCTTAGCAGGTAGACCTTTTAGGAAATCTGACGGTGACAGAAATAGACTTCTGTTGGGGCTCTAAAGAGTTCCCTCTCATGAGAATCTTGGATTCCCCACACTCCAAAAGCCATCGACTCTCCTGATGGCTCTCAGGGACTCTCCATGCTTCCTTCGCCAGTTGGGATATATCTGGCAGAAATACTATTGACTTTGCCCATCTCTTTTCTAACAGGATTTGAAGGGTGCTCCATGGTGCCTACCATCTACCCCCTAGAAACACTGCATAATGCCCTTTCCCTGCGTCAAGTAAGTGAATTCTTGAGTGGAGTCTGCCAGCGCCACACTGATGCCCAAGCACAGGCATCTGCAGGTATGGAGAATGAATACTCTTGTTTTGTGTCCCTATCTCTGCCTTCATTCCCATGCTTTCTAGAACATGAGTAATAAATTAAAAAGTTAGGCACTTCAAATACATACAAAAATAGACTTGGAAAAAAGATGTTTAATTGTAGGTCAACTCAAAATAATAGAAAAATCACTCCTTCCTAAGTTTATTTGTAAATTTAGTGTGACCTAATAAAATACTGCTGGTTTTCTAAAGTCAGTTTTGAAGTTCTCATTGGAAAATAAACAAGCAAGAATAGCCAGGAAAACCTTGATTTTATTTTTTTTATTTTTTATTTTTTTTTTAAATATATTTTATTGATTTTGTACAGAGAGGAAGGGAGAGAGACAGAGAGTTAGAAACATCGATGAGAGAGAGTCATCGATCAGTTGCCTCTTGCACACCCCCTACTGGGGATATGCCCGCAACGAAGGTACATGCCCTTGACCAGAATCGAACCCGGGTCCCTTCAGTCCCCAAGCCGACGCTCTATCCATTGAGCTAAACCGGTCCCGGCAGGAAAACCTTGATTTTAAAACATTATATAAAACTTATATAATAAAAACAGAATAATATTGGTATATGAATAGACAGAGAGCAATCAAACAAAGCAGAAAATTTAGAAATAGATGAAGTTAGCATTTCAAAATACTGGGGGAAAGATGGACTTTTTAATAAATAGAGTTGGGACAATTGAATATTCATTTGGCAAAAATTAAAATTGAATTTATACTTCATGCTGTATAAACTCGCAACCAGTATAAACTCCATATAGATCAGAGATCTCAATGTAAAAATTAAACCATGCAATAGGTAGCTCCAAGGGCTTCTCCTTTTACAGAAACACACACACACACACACACACACACAAAAGCAAAAATTGATACAATCAACTTTATCAGAACTCTGGAAAATAGTCAGAGGTTTGCAACCAGCAAGAAATTTCTGAATCAAGAAGGAGGTAACCTAAAAATGGCAGGAAGCTTTCCAGTACTTTTACTTGACCTCCTCCCGCTCCTGTCCCCACCTTGGTACCAGTCGTGAACATGGCAACCCATGCTCTCAGTGTGGGACCCTAGTCTCCGGTTTCAGAGGGAGCAGAATAGACCTTATTCTCCAACTTGTGTTCGTTCTAATTTGTATATAGGTTCCCTGAAAGACTGGCAACCTTTGTTGCACCTAACTTGGAACTCACTCAGTGTATAAATGTGGCTATGCAGAGGATATTACTTGAAAACACTGTAAAGCAAATGAACATGATGTCTGAGACAAAACATAGTTGAGGCAAACAATAGGCAAACGGAAAGCCTGGGAAGAGAGTTTCTTTAGGAAATCAATCATCAAAAGCACCCATGTACTGGTAAATTTGAAAAGCTATACACATGCCTGGGGAAGGTCACCTGAGCATAAAATACATGAGAAGACCCTAACTCTAGATTCAACACAAGCAGGGAGTGTAGGCTAAGGCAGTGTTGTAAATAGTCTGGCTAAGTGTTGAAGGAGTACCTCAACATAGAACCAATCTGCAAATACTGTGAGAACTCCTCTCTCCTTTCCTCCCTTCTACTTCTTTCCCTCCTTCCCCCCTCTCTCTCTTTGTTCCTGGTTTATTCAAGGAAATCCTTATCAAAGCCCCAGCTGAACATAAACCAAAGGAACAAAGATTTCACAGACTGCATATGACAAAGAAGACAGACTTTATAAAAACAGTTTAGAAAAATCACTAAACAAACAGCAGTAGACCACAGCAAACAACAAAAAGAAACCCTGAGGGGAGAGAGGTAATTTAATTTTCAGAGTTAATACATTCTAATAGTAAAAATGTTATTTTTTCAACCAAAAAAATTATATAATATGCAAAGAAACAAAACAGTGTGATCTTTTCTTAGAATAAATTAATGTCTGAGGAAACACAGACATTAGACTTAGTAGACAAATATTTTAAATAAGGAAAGGAAACCAGGGACAGAGAACTAAAGGAAATCAGGAGAATGATGTCTCATCAAATAGAGAATATCATTAAAGTGATAGAAAATATCAAAAGAAACCAAACAAATTCTGAGGCTGTAAAGTATAGCAGAAATGACAAATTTGCTAGAGGATTTCTTAGAAGATTTTATTAATAGAAGGCAGAAGAATCAGAAAACTTAAAATAGGTCATTTGAAAAATATTCAGTCTGAAGAGGAGAAATTGAAAAGAATGAAGAAAAATAAGCAAAGCCAAAGAGATTTGTGGGACACCATAAATATGCCAATATATGCATAATGGGAGTTCTAGAAGAAGAAAGAGAAAAAAAAGGTAGAAGAAATAATGGCTGAAAACTTCTCAAATTTGATAAAGATACAAATATATGCAACCTAGTAGTTGGAAGATAAATGCAAAGAGAGCTATTCTGCAACACATTCAAATCAAGTTGGCAAAAGAAGAAGACAGATAAAATCTTTTGTTTTAGTTTGATATTTTGTTAATCATCACCCAAGGATACTTTTCCATGGATTTTTTTTAAGAGTGGAAGGGAGGGGGAGAGACAGAGAAAGAGAAACTTGGATGTGAAAGAGACACATCGACTGGTTGCCTCCTGCACACATCCCGAATGGAGCTGGGGATTGAGCCTGCAACTGAGGTACAATCCCTTGACCAGAATTGAACCCAGGACCCTTCAGTTAGTAGCCAATGCTCTTCCACTGGGCAAAATCAGCTAGGGTGAGAAAATATTGTGTCTCAGGGGTTAAGTGTCAACCCTGGAATCAAGAGGTCATCAGTTTGATTCCCAGTCAAGGCACATGCCCGAGTTGCAGGCTCAGTCCCTAGTTGGGGTGTATGAAGGCAGCCAATCAATGATGTTTCTGTCGTTGATGTTGTTATATCTCTAAAAATAAATAAAAACATTTATTTAAAAAAAATTTTTTTAAACCTTGAAAGTAGCAAGAGAAAAACAACTTGTCATGTAAGAGTGATCTTAATAAGATTAACAACCCATTTCTCATCAGAAACTATAGAGACCATGGAGTGGGGAGGTGAAGGGGCAGATAGAAAGGGTCACTGGGAGGGGGGGTGCAGGAGGGGACGTATGTAGGTCTTTCAACAATAAAAATTTAAAAAGAAAAGAAAAATAAAGAAACCATAGAGGCCAGAGAGCAGTGGGATGATGTATTTAAAGGGCCAAAAGAAAAAACACTATCACCCAAGAATTCTACATCTGGCAAAACTTCAAAAATGAAGAATTAATTAAAACATTTTGAGGTCAACAAAAGCTGAGGGACTTTGTCACTAGTAGACATGCACTACAAGAAATGCTAAAAGGAGGCTTTTAGGCTGAAATAAAAGGACACTAGTCAGTAACTTGAAGCCATAACAAAGAATAACTCTCGTAAAGTAATTACATTGGTAAATATAAAAGTCAGCATTATAGTACTTTTTATTTGTAGCTCCTCCTTTCATTTCATATATGAATTAACACACAAAATCACTATAAGTCTATGTTAATGGGCATATAATATATAAAGATATAATTTGAGACAATAACAATATAAAGTGGGAACAGAGCTTTATAAGAGCAGAGTTTTTGTATGTTATTGAAGCTAAATTGCTATCTAACCAAATAAGATTATTATAAATTTAGGATGTTATATGTAATCCCTATGGTAAACACTAAGAAAATATCTAAAACCTATCAAGAAAAAGAAATAAGAAGGGAATCAAAATGGTTTGCTACAGCCCTAGCCAATTTGGCTCAGTTGGCCTGCAGACTGAAGGGTCCCGGGTTCGATTCCAGTCAAGGGCACATGCCTGGGTTATGGGCTTGATCCCTAGTGTGGATTCTCTCTTATCATGGATGTTTCTATCTCTCCCTCCCTCTCTCCATTCCTTTCTGAAATCAATAAAAATATATTTTAAAAAAATGGTTCGCTACAAAAAAATCAAACGCAACACATGGCCATAATAGAGGAAATGAAGAACAAATAATTTATATGACATACAAAAAGCATAGCAAAAATTCCTCATCAGTAATTATTTTAAATGTAAATGAATAACACTCTCCAAACAAAAGGCAGAGTTGGCAGAATGGATTTTTTAAAAAATTATCCAACTATATGTTTTTATAGGAGACTCAATTTAGTTCGGTGGATAGAGCATCAGCCTGCAGACTGAAGGGTTCAATTCAGGTCTAGGAAATGTAACTCAGTTGTGGGCCAGATCCCCAACCCCAGTCAGGGTACATCAGGAGGCAAACAATTTGTCTATCTTTCCCCATCCCTTCCACTCTCTCTAAAAATAAATGGAAAAATATCTGTGGGTAAGGATTAACAAGACAAAAGAGAGAGAGAGATTCAATTTAGGCCCCAAAGACACAAATAGGTTGAAAGTGAAAGGATTTATTTCATGCAAATAATAACCAAGTGAGCCCTAACTGGTTTGGCTCAGTGGATAGAGCGTTGGCCAATCAATGATTCTCTCTCTGCCCTCACCGATTTGGCTCCGTGGATAGAACATGGGCCTGTGGATTCAAGGGAACCAGGTTCAATTCCAGTCAAGGGCATATACCTAGGTTGCAGCTGATTGATGTTTCTTTCTCATCGATGTTTCTGAGTATCTCCCTCTCCCTTCCTCTCTATAGAAAATAAATCAATAAAATAGATTTTTTTAAATGATTCTTTCTCATCATTGATGTTTCTATCTCCTTTCATCTCTGAAGTCAATAAAAATATAAAAAAATAATTATTCTGCAGCTATTGGAGAATACTTTTCACCAGTTCTTTCCTCTGAAAACTAAAGGAAAATAAACACATCCTATCTTTTCAGTAACAACTGCAGTTCAGTGTAATCAAATAATCTCAGTTGAAGAGGGAACATTCTTCTTTACCGAAAATATGCTAAGTAATAAATGTTAAAAGGATTGATAGAATTAAAAAATCAACACTTGACACCCCTAATAAAATAATTAAGATCCATCAATGGATACTAAAATGGTGGGTTTGCATGGTGTCAAAGGATCACCTCTGATCGGAAGGGGGAAACTTTTTTTTTTCTTTTCATTTTTTTATTAAGGTATTACATGTATCTTACCATTGCCCCCCTCCCCCCAGAGGGGGAAACTTTAAAATAGTGAGATTTTTATGGGCACCACTTTAACCCAATTAGTAAATTTAGTCTTACTTAGTAGGACAATGAAACATTATGTGCCTATAATATAATATAATATAATATAATATAATATAATATAATCCTATATAATATAATTCTGTATAATATAATTCTGTATAATAAAATCATAATATGCAAATTGATCGATCAGTCAAATAGTGGAACAACCATCTAGATGACCATCCAGGACCACGCTATGACACCCATGGTGCCAACCCAGCCAAGGCGGGTGCGATGCAATTAGTTGGGGGCCCGGCCCCAACTAATTGCCCCCATGATCGCCCCACAGAGGGAGGCCCAGACCATCTGCGAGGGAAGCCCAGGGCCTGGGTGCCAGGGGAAGGAAGACCTACTCTTTTTTTTTATTATTATATTTTATTGATTTTTTTTTTTTTTTACAGAGAGGAAGGGAGAGGGATAGAAAGCTAGAAACATCGATGAGAAAGAAAAATCGACCAGCTGCCTCCTGCACACCCCCCACCGGGGATGTGCCCACAACCAATGTACATGCCCTTGACCGGAATCGAACCCGGGGCCCTTCAGTCCACAGGCCGATGCTCTATCCACTGCGCCAAACCGGTTTTGGCAGGAAGACCTACTCTTGCATGAATTTGATGCAACAGGCCTCTAGTATAAAATAATATACATAGGTATTGCCAAAGTGATTTAAGCTAAATAATTGATGCCTTTTATAGCTAACTTTTAGCTTATAGTAAATACAAGGGATGTTGAAATGAGTTAAATGATTTTATGAGGAAGCAATCAGATGAATCGAGAATGTGGGAAATGACATTCTGTGAGACAACTGACTGTTCTTTTAAAAAAATCACTATGAAAAAAATAAATGGGTAGGAGGACACTATCTAGAACAGTAAGGTCCTTTTATATTAAGGTCCAAACATGTACGGTTCATGTTTGGACCTTACTATAAAAGCAATTTGGGGAGTAATAGGGAAAAATTTGAATATGAATTGGGTATGACATGATATTAGGGTATTACTTTTTAATTTTGTTAGGTTAAATAGGAGACACTCCTTATAATTTAGAAATGCATATTAAAGTATTCATTATATCTATTATTTACTTTTGAGAACTTCAGCACCAAGAAATAGATGAAACAAGTATGGCAAAATGTTGACATGTGTTAATGAGTTAAATATAGATGAGTGTACGAGTATTGGTCATACTAGTCTTTCAATAACTTTTTAAAATATACTTGAAAATATTCATTATACAAAGTTTAAAATATTAAAAATGGTTTGTGTGAAGGATGGTTCATCTCAGCATGAGAAAATGTACATTGACTTTTACTTATGTTGAGAACCTGTGGCACTTGGATTCTTCTTCATGTGCTTATTTTCCCTTCCCCCTCCCCCGCACCGCTCCAGCCCTCTTTGATTCTATGCACAGCAACCAGGCCTCCGATGGCACCTTTTCCCCACCCCGCACTCTTCCTTCGCCCACCATGCAGCTCCGGCAGCGCTCTGAGAAGCCCCCTTGGTGTAAGTAATCCTTTGGGAACTGCCTAGACTAGGGGTGTCGAACTCAATCAGAGAAGGGGCCAAAATCTAAAATCCAGCCTAAATCGCGGGCCGAATGGTTTACTGAACAGTCATAAACTGTCATTGTGATGGAAACTCAGCAGAGTGCAGTGATGACAGCGCGGTGCGGGCCACATTGCAAGGCCTGGCGGGACGGATTTGGCCCGCGGGCCTTGTGTTTGACACATGTGGCCTAGACAGAGGCCAAGAGGGAGGGAGGAACTGGTGAGTGAGAAACCTGTCCCTTGAGGGAAACCAAGATGAGAGTTGAAAGACCAGGAATACAGTTAAGGAAGCAGTTTCATCTGCCTCTTCCAAGATGGAGGGAGGGTCTGTGTACTGTGTCTCATCACCTCTGCCTCCCACACCCCTCTATCTCATTGGAGAGGCTCCTAAAAGATAGTGGAGCCGAGGATCCTTTAGGGAAGACTGGATGGAAACTTCATTCTTCTCAGATCCCCACGTGGTTTCTACAGCTTCCTCGAAGCGCAGGGGACTTGGAAGGAAACCTGAATGTATAGAAAAGCTGGGGGAAGGAAACTGAAATCTGCTACTACTTTCAGCTTTTTTCTCAAGTTATCTGTTCTCAGTTGAGGTGATACTTTTCCCCATCTCTTTATCATCTCTAGCCTATCACTAATTATCCTTGTGAACAGTGGGCAGCAAGGAATCCTTAGAGCAACCGTAGGGAGGGGGGGATAACCCGTAATAATCAGGGCCAGAGACACCAGTGATGGAAAATCCTTTCTTTATTCATCTTGCCTCCAAGGAATAACAAAAATCTAACATGCCTTTCACTATTTTACTTGGATAGGACTTCAGCAAAGATTCATATTTCAGCATTGAGGTAAATAGTTGTCGAATTTTGCCCTTCTTAGTATGCAGAAGAAAATTTCTTCCTAACACCAAGAATTGTCCCCCTGGATTTCAGATTACCCTACACTCACCTTGTCTCTTTTACCTGTCTCCTATAGTGTTTATGGTTCTGTGCACCACCCACCCCTAACATCCCTCTCCCGCATATATTTCTGTTTGACCTCTTTGATTTGCCTCAATCAAACTACTAACTGAGTATAAGGCTACTTCTACCCTTGAGTGAATTCAGTTTACAGCTTTTTTTTTTTTTTTTTTTTTTTTTTTTTTTTTTTTTTTTTTTTTGTAATCTCAGTATTAGGTGTATAACCTCATTGAAAGCATTTTCAGGGTCTGTCTCTCTGTCTCTAAATAAGCATTGGCACAAAACCATGTTCCTCTTTGTTTTTCTACTTGAAGCATGCCTCCTGTGATGCTTTACAGAAAAGAGTTTACTGGCATACCTTAAACTCAATGACTGATTGAGCTTTTGTATGCTTGTGCTTGACAAGTTTCCCAGATTCTCTCTGAATTATAAGATACTCAGATGTCCCCTATTTCTAAAAGCTATAATTATTGATGTCAGAGTGCTTTAATATAAAGTTATAATACCATCAATAAATATAATATTTACAAAGGGAAAAATAGATTAATCCCCTACTAGAGGTTAATGAAGAAGTAGAGGTTGGAGTAGGAATTGTCCCACAATGTAATTGAAGACTATGTCAGGATGTGGGAAATTAGTTTTTATGACATTACAAACCTGTAACATCATATGTCCCAGTACCTAGAAGATCTTAACTTTGGATCCATGGATGGATTTCAGGGTAAAGTTTATGAACACTAGGAATTCTACATAATAAAAGAGCAATAAGCAAATTAACCCTCACTCTGCTACACCCACCAGCCAATCAGAGTGAGTATGCAAATAAACCCAATCAAGATGGCTATAGGCACAGAGAGCAGGAGGGAGGCTTGGTTTTCCCAGGCGATGTAGGAAACCAGGCTTTCTGCCTGCCCTTGCCGGCCTAGGCCTCCACTCAAGGCTACAAAGTTTCAATTATAGAAGGTAAACAAATCCAAACAAATGGCTGCCAGCCACAAGCGAGCAGGAGGCTTGGCTCCTGTACAGGCTACAAAGTTTCAATTGTAGAAGGTAAATTCCAGATACCAGGGCCTCTGCTTGGGTCGCCAGGGGGTATGGCTAACCTGAAAACCACCACAGACCCCTCGCTCAAGCTGCCCCATTCCCAAAGGGAACTCCCACCCTGATCCAGGACACCCTTCAGGGCAAACCAGCTGGCCCCGCCCATGCGCCAGGCCTCTATCCTATCTAATAAAAGAGTAATATACAGATTGATTATCACTCCAACACACAAGATGGCTGCCCCCATGTGGTCAAATATGGCTGCCCCCATGTGAACACAAGATGGCCACCACAAGATGGCCAGCAGGGGAGGGCAGTTGGGAGGCACCAGGCCTGCAAGGGAGGGCAGTTGGGGGTGATCAACCCTGCAGGAGAGGGCAGTTAGGGGTGACCAGGCCAGCAGAGGAGGGAAGTTGGGGGCAAACAGGCTGGCAGTGGAGCAGTTAGACATCAATCAGGCTGGCATGGGAGTGGTTAGGGGGTGATCAGGCTGGCAGGCAGAAGCGGTTAGGGGAAATCAGGAAGGCAGGCAGGTGAGCAGTTGGGAGCCAGCAATCCTGGATTGTGAGAGGGCAGTCAGACATCCCTCGAGGGGTCCCAGATTGGAGAGGGTGCAGGCTGGGCTGAGGAACACCCCCCCTCTAGGCTCCATGCATGAATTTTGTGCACTGGGCCTCTAGTCATATATAAAGATTAGTGTGAATACTCACATGTATATTTTTCTGGGAAAATAATTCATTACTTTCTTTTTTTTCTTTGTTTTAAAATATATTTTATTGATTTTTTACAGAGAGGAAGGGAGAAAGATAGAGAGCTATAAATGTCGATGAGAGGGAAACATCGACCAGCTGCCTCCTTCACACCCCCCACTGGGGATGTGCCCGCAACCAATGTACATGCCCCTGACCGGAATCGAACTTGGGACCTTTCAGTCCGCAGACCAACGCTCTACCCCTGAGCCAAACTGGTTTCGGCTAATTCATGACTTACATTAGAGTTTCAGAGGAATCAGTGACACGCACCCCGCTCCCCCCCCCCCCCCACACACACACACAAAGGTTAATTAAGAACTGCTGCCATTTAGAAATTCCATGGGGTTCTTCCATCTTTGGGTAAATCATTTTCTTTTCTATTATTCTGATTCACAAGGTTTTTCTACATTCTTCTGCTTACTTATACCTTGGGTTATAAACAATGATTACCTATACCTCAGAAATACACTGATTGCTTTAAAGAAATGATTCTTAACCAAAGATGTACATCAGGCTTAATTGGGAGTGTTACAACAAAATATATTGCCTTCATCTCCCTCTCCACCCCGTACCTTTAACGTAAACCTACAGAATTAGAATCTGGAGATTCTATGTAACCCCAATTATGAGCCACTGGAATAAAGTATTCATATGTTTTCAAAGTATGAAGGAGGGATCAAGAGAATTTGAAATTTGGATAGGGATACATTTATGAAAGAACTGGATGAAGTGAGTCTCAGCACTTTCTCCTGAAGTCTTAGATGTACCTTAGGGCTACTCCTATAGTACATGTTAGGTCAGAGCCACTGTTTCTGAGCTGGGCTAATTTGGGAGTCTGCATAACTTAGAAAGAATTCAGACCTTCTTTCCCTGAGACATGAGTAATATAGGCCATCTATCTGGCACTTGAACTACATACATAGAGTAAAGCCTTCTCTTCCAGCTTGCCTAACTTGTTCTTCTGACTTTGCTTTACAGACAGCAGTGGCCCTTCCAGCACTGTGTCCAGTGCTGGTCCTTCCTCCCCTACTGCAGCGGATGGGAATTGCCCATTTGGCTTCAGTGGTCAACCCTCCCTAAGTTCACACGTGGCTGAAGAATGTCAAGGCCTTGGGCTGCGCCAGGAGATCCCTGGGAATGGAGCACAAGAGCTCTTCATAGAAGGAGAGCAAAAGCCTTTTGAACCAAACCAGGTCCCACAGGAACCACCTGTGGAAACCAGCCAGCCACGCCAGGAAGTTGCTGAGGTCAGCCAGCCATGTCATCAGGCCGCTGATATTAGCCAGCCATGCCAGGAGGTCTCTGACAACAGCCAGCCATGCAAGGAGACCCATGATGATGTTAACCAGACATGCCAGGAGGTCACTCAGATCAACCAACTGTGCAAGAAAGTCTCTGAGGAAGCTTGCAAGCTTTTCCAGGAGAACCCTGAGGAGGCCAGCCTGCCATGCCAAGAGGTCTCTGTGGAAGTTGGCAGGCTGGTCCATGGGTTTCCTGAAAGGGTTGGTGGCCTGGTCCAGGAAATCCTTGTGGAAGTTGGCAAGCCAGCCCATGAGATCCCTGAGGAGCTCAGCCAACCATGCCAGGAGTTCTCTTTGGAGGTTGACAGACTGGCCCAAAAAGCTCCTGCAACCCATCTCGTATCTCAGGATATCCCTGAGGTTGATACAGCATCCCAGGAGTTCCCAGAAGGGGGTGACCTACAGGTTCAGGAGGGCCCTGAGGAGGTTAGTCAGCAGTCCTGTGTGGTCCCTGAGGTCATCGAGCAGCTGCCTGGAGAGGATGTTCCCCAAGTCCAGTATCCATCTAGTGATCCAAACCCTCACTCAGAGCCAGTCTCTAGCCCATGACCAAAACTTATCCCTTCCACCAGCAACATGTGATTAATCATTTTCTCATTGATGGTGGTGTAGTATACCAGCCATTTGAGCTAGCAACTTTGTCTGTTGGCTCACTCACCTGCCAGCATAAGGCCTTGGATCTTACCAGGGTGTCTGAGGAAGCAGTCCTCTTGTCATGAAGCATGCCTGTGCTGGAGCTGGGCTTGGTGAGGGGCCCATTTCGTGTTCAAACAGCCATTGGCTCCTCACCAAGCCATTAGATTTGAATAGGATTTCCTTTAAGGGGTGGGCTGGTCTGTCATTATCCAGCCTCCTCTGAGCAACCCAGGAAGTTCCAGATTGTTAAAGGAAATGCCTCTTAACTGCTGAAGACACCATCCCGGGACAAGTGCAAAAGGGGATCCCAAGGCCTTCACTTTTCTGAGGAAATATTCATAATGTCTCAGAGTCCTTTAGACCATATGTGCATTCAGGGGGACTCTTGTCCTGGCTAGCACTCCTCAGATGGGCCCAGGATGGCTGTCTGAAATGTCTGGGAAAAAGAGTCCCCTTCCTAAACAAACATCCATCATGGCCACTAATCTTTAGATTGGGCTTATGGGTATTTCCTTATCATCCCCAAGTGCCCTCTCTGCCCCTGTCCTGTGAAGAGGGCAATCGCTCTATGGAAAAATAGGTATTAGATTGTTGTGAAAATTTCAGAGTAACTACTTAAAATGCTTTTGGGGTTCTTGACCAATCTGTGAAGCGAGGCCTCTTTTGTTGTGGGGCTTTTTGGCTTAGAAGATGCTGTAATAGAGAAAATCAGGTTCTATTTTTAAGCAATCAGCAGAGATAAATATTGTACAGATATGAGCAAAGATTATATATATATATGGTAGTGCCAGGGACAGACTGGCCAAAGAACAAACACTCTGGGGTTTCCAAGAGGTTTGTCCTTCTATCATTGTGTCTTTAGGGCCAGGTGTGATTATGAAGCTAATCCCAAAGATCTGGGCATGGGAGTGAGGGTGGGTATGAGGGGTAACGCTGTCATTAGAGCGGGGGGCGGAACATTATGAGTGCTCAATAAATATGAGGTAATGAGAATGGAAGAGGTGGTCAAATCATTGTGAACTAAAGAGTGAATGTGACTATAAGTCAATCAGGTATGTAACTGAATCTGAACCAGTCAAAGGCCTTTTTAGTTGAGCAGGGACAGGCTATAAAAATATACAGACCAGACATCCCAGGAGGTCCCTATGCCAATCAACCCGCTATCCCAAAATGTCTGAAGTGAGTAGTGTTGTGGGGGAGAGAGGGTCTGTCTCTGTCAAACACCGGAGGGTACACAAGGCCTTTTCACCAGCTCCTTGGAATCACGCTCTTAAGTTTTCTTCCGCTGCTTTGGAGTGTCAGGAATTAACATTAAGAGGTTATACTCTATTTAATCCCTTGACATTGGGAGAGCTCAGAGCACTAGGAGGGCTGGAATATCCCCCTGCCCATATATTCACATTCACAACTTGGCCTCTTCTTACATACCCAGGACATATGAAGAGTTTCACTGAAGGGGGGAAAATCCAACATTTTACTCCATGAAAATCCTGACTGCATAAGTGAGAGGTGTTTACAACCTCAGTAAGCTCTGGGTCTCTTAGGGCCCCTCCATTCCTTACCTCTTTGGTGTTACCCTATCTAATGTGTCTGGTTATTTGGTTCTCAACTCTTGACCTCATGGAGATGCCAACCCCTCTTCCTTCCCCAAACCAAATGTTCAGGTACTGTCACCCACTTTCAGGAATTATGCTGTCTCCTTTTCTCCTTTAACACATATGTTCTCTGGCTTCCCTGGGTCCTGGAATTGCTTCCAGTTATCAAAGACATTGAGAAAAACGACTATGCTTAGAGAAGCCAGAACCCAGCAACTAAGCAATATGTGGAGTCAGAAGAACCCTAAGCAGCACTATGGCATCTGTAATGAGCTTGATTTATTGTCAGAGTTGAAGGCGGCTCTGTTACAGCAGCTGGGAACTACAGCAGGGAAGTGTGGGGAGAAGCAGAGCACAGCAGCACGGGTTGGGTGGGAGCTAGGAAGGACACAGGCAGGCTCGTTTTGGTTTCCACACAGTCATTTGGCAGAGAAGCTGAGTCCTGACGAGCGTCTGGATTCCTCAGTCCAGCAGTAGTCTGGCAAGGCTGCTCATTGGCTTGCTTGGGGTGAGGTCCTCTCCTGAGATGGTATTTTCAGCCTGTGTTCATCTCACTCAGTAGGAGTTAAGCTTTTTAGCTCAGCTTCTTCTCCCTTTCCTTCCTCCTCCTCCTTTCCCCCGAGTCCTCTGGCATGACCTCCCCCTCCCAGATCCTCTCTAAGAGTCTGTATGGGGCCGAAAAGGCAGCCAGCGTTCCCATTTCAGCTGCAGGATGGCATAGTGGAATGTTGGGGAGTCACACATTGCTGAGGTGTCAGATGTTGGGATGTGCGGCAGTGGCTTATTTTTAACCCATTACACACCAGGCCACAGTAGATGACCACATGCAGAAAAGCCAAGCAGGGGGTGAGAAGGGATCAGGATCATTGGAATGGGTAGGTGAAAACTTCAAAAGGTCAGGGAGCTTGGAAAATTCTGGGTTTGGGGCTGGGCTCTCCTTGCCCCTTTGTGCTGTCCAGTAGGCCTGGTCTGGGCACAACTCTGGGGTGTGAATGGTATGAAGCAGGGACTGGGAGGGTAAGCTCTTTCTTCTCTCACCAGTCTGTCGGTCGAATGCTTCAAGTTTTGGGTTGAGACATTCAGGTACGGAGGGAAGCAGTGGGACAGTGTAGCAGCAGTGTACCCCCAGACCTCTGCTGGAACCCAGACCCTGGTGGGTAAGGGGATGGGAGGTGAAGGGTGCAGCTCTAGGCATCTCACTGACAGTATCCTACCCCCAGGTCACATAAGTTACTATTGGAAATCCTTGGGATGCTAAATAAATAGATAGAGATAAAGAGGTCCCTGGGGTTGTGGGTATGATCTTCCATGAGAGGGGAGGTTGCACTCTCAGATTCATCCTTAATCCCCATGCAATCCCAGCATTTGGCAGTGCTGGGAGAGGTGTCACTCCAGAGTTCTCGGGCATCAGATGACCTCCTATCCTAATTTTGTGCCCTCTCCCCATCCTGTTACCTTTGGTTTTGAGACTCCTCTCAAGTATGGATGAGGGGAAGGGACAACCCTTCCCAATTAGCCCGGCCCAAGTTCCCACAAGACGCCCTGTCCCCCGCCCTCTCCCTCCCCAGCTCCCGTGTCCCCAAACCCCAAAGACGCAGCAGTAGCCATTCTCTAAGGGAGCCGGGGAAGCAGATCCTTGGGGAAGGGAGAGCAGTTTTTTCAGAACTCAATCTTGCAGGCGGGGAAGGACTCATCCTGCATGACCACAGTGCTGCTGCTAGCCAGGACCAGGACGTTCAGCTGCTGCTGCTGCTCATGAGTCTGTTGGTACCACTCGCGCGTTACCTCTGTGTCATGGGTAGGGATCAAAGTCACCTAGGAGGGAGAGAAGACACGCCTGGTGTGATCATGTGAAGGGAACATATGTGAGGGGGATGGCATACCTGATGGTTCAGGAAACTACCCATAGTAAGGGTTCAGTCCTTTTATGGATAAAGACTGTGCCGCATTATGCCTCTGAGTAACCTTTGACCATACTACCTCCGTGGCATCTCTCGTCACTCACCTGGAGGTTCTCCCCCCACTGGGCCTTGCCCTCCAGCAGGGCATCCAGCACAGCCCGGCTTGGCTCGCCGTTGGCAGGATCATTCCCACTGACCACATAGTAGGATGCACGCACTCGTCGGAAGAAGTCAAGATCCGCCGTCTTGCCACTGCAATGATTCGGGATGTAGGCGAGATCCACATATACAGGGGCACCGGAGCTGCCCTTGGAACCCAAGGCCACTGTAGAGACAAACCAGGACTCATTGTAGAGGGAAAGGACACTGCTTTCGGCAACCTTCCTTCCTTCCTTCCCTTCCTCCCACTCCTGGGGCCTTAGACCGGCCACACACAGCCCCAATCCGCAATCTCTGCTGCTCACATCATACTTACTTGGTCCTACCTTGAGTCCATTGACTAGGCCTTTGGACATGGGGCTGTGTCCATCCTTCTCGTCTGCGGGGGTGCTGCGTGGCCGGGGTGGGACCCGGGACGCTCGATCTGCAGGCCCTTTACCCGGGGTGGGTGAGCGTTTCCCCCGAAGATCTAGACGCCGCGCAGGAGATGCTGGCTTGGCCCGGCCTGGGGCCCTGCGCCCTACTCTCCCCTGTGCCTTCTCCTTTTCCCGATGCCTCTCTACCCTTCCAGACTCTGAGCTGAGCCCCTCAGGATCTGCCATGCACACATCGGGACGGGGAGGGGACGGGCGGGGATCTGGCTGAGGGAGTGGAGGTGGGTCATGGCCAGGCCTGGGATGGTGCACCCCACTGACCCCCCCAGCTTTGTCCACAGGCAGGAAGTCCCCGTCTTCGTCTGAGTCGAGGGCTGCCTCCGCTGTGATGGATGGACACTCCTCGGTTTCTGGCGGAACGTCAGAATCTGACTGTGAGGAGCCTGAGTCGCTGACCGAGGTCGGGGGTGTCTCATCTGCCACGGGACATGGGCCCCCTGTGGCCCTAGGGCCCCCCGCCCCGCGCCGCTCCCGACCAGCTGAGCTTCCTCTTCCTACCAGCTGAGCTTCCTCGGTTGAGAGGTCACTGTCGTTTGTGGATTGGGGCAGAGGTGGGTTCAAGAAGGATGGGGAGAGCTCCCCACAGTGGGGCCGGGGCTCAGAAGCACACCCCTGGGGCCCGGCCTCCATCTTAGGGGAGCCACTTCTAGATGGGCCACCAGAGGCCCCTCCAGGACACAGTGGCTGCTCAGGGGACAGCAGACTGTCAGGCCTGGAGCTCCTCTCAGCCCCCTCAGGCCAGGCCCCCCGCTCCCAGGCAGGGCAGCCCTCGGCCTCTTTTTTCTCATCCTTGGCTGGGGCAAGGCCTGGGGTGCTGGGGCTGGTTTCAGTGGGGCCATTGGTGGCATAATCTCCAGAGGGATCCTGGGAGGAGTCTGGCTTCTTGGTGGCTGCCACTGAGCACTCCCGGCGGCAGGGCGGGGTGCCATCAAACGTGTCTCCAGGCAAGTTTGGAGCTGGAGCTGCACCTGGGGCCAAGTCCAGTGAAGCTGGAGGTGCTGGGCTCAAAGGAGTAAGGTCCCAAAGGCTGTGGGCAGATGCTTCCATTCCTGGGACCAGCCCTGCAGACCCCTGTCCTGCAGCCTCCAGGCAGGCAGGGAAGCGCTCGGCCACACTTGAAATCACAGGGGTGGTGGCCTCGGAGGAGGAGCCTTCGGACAGGGCTGGTGAGGCAGGTCGTGGCAGGCTAGAGAGGAGAGGGGCCCCGGGAGAGCTGGGTGAGGGGAGCTGGGGCAGTGAGGAGTCCAGGCTGGGGGCCTTGGTCACTTCTAGGTACTCATCATGCCGGGCTCTGGTGGGGGGCCCTGGAGCCAGCGCCAGAGCTCGGTCCCCAGAGAAGGCGAGGGAGCCGCAGGGTGCCGAGCGGGGTTCAGCTGGAGAGGGCAGCTGTGGAGGGGCCGGCTGCAATGAGGAGAAACCGAAGGCTGAAGCAGGGAAGTCCAGGCTGGGTGGGGCAGGAGCCTGGTGTGCGTTTGAGGAAGGACTGGCACCTGCCTCACTTTCAGGCCACAGTTTAGGGAGCCCCGCGGGAATGGGGCGGGGGGGACTTGGGGACTGGGCCTCTTTCTCTGGCTGCTCCAGAGCCCCCTTCTCGAGCTCTGAGTCACTAGTGCTGTCATCCCAGGGACTCTGGCCTGATTCCTTGGGGGATGGGGTTTTCCTATCTGGGCTACCGCTCAGGACGCTACCATTAAGACGGGGGCTTGGGCCTTTCCTCGGAGGGATGGGAGCACGGGGGGGTAGGGCAGGGGGGGTGAGGCTGGGCTCCACACTTGGCCCTGCATCAGGCTCCTGCCTAGGTGGTACGGGGGGTCCCCCCAGAGCTGCGTAGCTGAAAGACGGGGTGTCGAATTGGAGGCTCTTGGGTGAAACAGGAGATGACAGCTCCTTCTCTGCTGATGTGTTTCGGCCAGCAGCCGCCTCCTTGGTTGAGATGTGTGTGGGCCAATCCCCAGCTGCTCCAAGAGGAGGCTCCCTGGTGGGGCCCGCAGGGGTGAGCCCGGTGAGCATCATCTGCTCGTAAATATCGGCATACTGAAAGCTCCTCTCATCAGGATAGGGCGTGGGCTCTCTCTGCTCTGGCTCTGTCTGCTCAGGCCCCTTGCTAGCATGGCTCTTGCTGGCCTCTGGAACCTTTGAGCTGCTGGGGCTGCTGTCAGGAGCCCTGGCCTGGTTTTCTTCTTCTCCTTCCCCTTCAGCCTTGCGGTAGTCCTTCCCAAGGGGGGAGTATGGCCCGCCTTCCAGTTCAGCTGCCCCCTCCTGCACCGCAGCCACCACACTGTCATACTCGGCAGTGCCCCAGGAGAAGGGCGCAGGGGTGCGTGAGCCAGGGACCGGGCTCGGGGGCGCTGGTGCAGGGGAGAGAGGTGCAGGTGGCAGGGGTCTGTCCTTGGGCACCCACGGTGGGATCTCAGCCAGCCACGAGTGGGTGGCGGGTTCCTTCTTTACGGGTGGCTTAGTCTTAGGCTCTAGGGCCGGGGTCTCTGGTCCTGGGGCCAGAGGGACCCTCTGTCCAACCCTCTCAGGTGGGGAGGCCGGAGGAGAGATGATCTCAAAAGGGGAGCGGGTAAGCTTGTCTTCTTCCTCTGGTGGCGGCCCAACCGGTGACTCAGCAAGCCACCGCTCTACCTCCAGCCCTTTCTGCGATGAGGACTCCTGGAAACCCTTGAAGCCTGAGGCCCATGGGCTCTGGGGCATATGCTCCACGGGGGGCACTTCTTGCTCATCATCTGGCCCCTCGTCGAGGAAAGTGCTCTCCCGCTCCTCTGTGTACCGCGGCTGGACTCCCTGACCATCCAGCTCATGCGGGTACCAGATCTTCCGCTCACAGCTCAGCTCCCTCCAGTACGTGTCCTGTTCCTGGGCTACATCCTCTCTGCCCCTCCAGTACCTGTCCTCCTGCTCAGATGACGTGTCTTCCCATGTCCGGGTAAATTCTTTCTGTTCTCCCGCTGGCTCCTCTCCGGTCGAAGATGTTTTTCTCCACTCCTGGACGGCACCCTGCTCCATCCAGTACTTCCTGTCCTCCTGCCCAGGGCTCTCTTCCAGCCCCAGAGCTTTGGTCTTTTCCAGCAGAGCTTCTTCCTTCTGCCTCACAGCTTCACCTTTTTCTGAGGATTTTTCCTCTAGGATCTTCTCCTTTTGTTTCATGGTTTTCTCCTGCGTTGGGCTCCCCAGATATTGAGTTTTGTCCTCTTCCAGAGCCTTATCTTTCTGTTTAAGAGCTTTATTGTTTTGTTCCAGTTCTTCATACTTCTGTCCTAAAGCCCAGTATTTTTGTTCTAAGGCCTGATACTTCTGTTCCAAGGCTTTGTCCTTCTGTTCCTGATCCTTGGCCCTCTGTTCAGGGACCTTGTCTGTCTGTTCTAAGGTCTTGCCCTTCAGTTCAAAGACCTTGTCCTCTGGAACTCTGTCTTTTGGTTCTAAGTCTCTGACTTTTTGCTCTAAAGCCTTATCCTGCTGTTCCATAACCTTGTTCTTTTCTTCCAGAGCCTCGCTTTTCTGATGGATGGCTGTATCCGTCTGCTCCAGAGTTTTGCCCTTCTGCTGTGGGACTTCATCCTTTGGGTCAGGTCCTTTGTCCTTCTTCTCTGGGGTTCTGTCTTTCAGTTCTGGAACTTGACCTTCCCACTTCATGGCAATGTCTTCCATGGCAAGGCTTGGCAAAGACTCGGGACTCTTGGTGAGGGAGCTATCAGGTGTTAGAATGTGCTCCCCTTGGCTTGTGATCACTTTAGGTGAGTGCTTCCCATCTCCCAGCAGTGTGGAGTGAGGGAAAGAGCTGGAAGGTAATTTTCCATCAGGGCTCTCATCTGTGATGTCTGTCTGTGCAGAGTGTCCAGTGCTCCCTTGTGTGGAAGGAGACGCTGTGGCAGCACGGGGTCCTGGAACAGACGCAGGGGCTAAGTGCTGAGAAGTGTCCTCAGCCTGCATCGGAGGCCCCTTTTCTTCCTTTCCAAGGCTTAGTTCCCCAAACTGGAGAGTGCCAAGATTTTCTGGAGATAGCTGCTTAGAAGAGATATCCAGAGAGGTCTCCTTGCTGGGACTCTCTTCTGAGAAAGAAAGTGACCGGGTGTCTTCTGGAGATACCTGTGGCCAAAGGTCTTTGTGTAAGTGCTGCTCTGTTAGGCCATAAGGAGACCTGGGCGCTTCCTGGTGGGCAGTGTCTGCAGAGACCACGCTGAGGACAGAGAGGGACTCTGCATCATCAGGGGAGAGGCTTTGGTCATGAAATTGGAGCATCTCGTCTTTCTGAGGTTCACCAGGTGCTTGGAGTGAGGTCTTCACATCTTTCAGAAGGGCTTCTGTCCCCAGAATTGTGCCCGTGGGCTCTCGTGCCCCCACAGTCTCAAAGACCATTGCTTTATCCTGTTCTGGCAATAGGTGGAGAGTGTAGCCGGCATGTTCCCCAACAATGCTGTCGGCAGCTTCCGGAGCTTGGGGGCTCCTGGGAGGAAGCACCTTTTCTCTCTTCTCTAGCGTGTTCTCTTTAGGCCCCGGCTTGGTTGTCTCCTGCCCAGCATCTTCCTTGCCTGCACCTGGTGTGTGCCTCATGTCTCCCCAGGGGCCTGCTTCCTGGAAGTCTTGGGGCTCAGACTTTTCTTCTACCGGGGACTGATGGAAGGGTGTGTGGGTGGCGCTGGGTGGGCCAGATGCTGGAGGAGAGGCCATCTTCACCGTGCTGTCATCCGGACTGAGGCAGCGCTCCTCGAGTTCTCCGAGGGCCGGCTCCCCCGGATAGGGGTGGTGCCCGGGAGCACCGAACATTGGGGCTCCATACTGACCGTGAAGTTTCTCCGATATCTGTACAGGTGTGGTCTCCCCTCCCTTTTCCACAGATCTTTCTCGAGGCAAGCCCCTCCCTACAATCTCTCCTCTCTTCTCTGACTCCCCAGGCACGGAGAAATCCTCACAAGGTGGTGACTTAAAGCCCTTGTCTTCTTCCAGAGAGGAGGTGGGTGAGATGGTACCGGCTGACGGCACATAGTCCAAGCCCTGAGTGGCTTCCGTGCGGGATGACGGGATGCTTGTGACCGTGTCGAGCTGTAGGGAACTCTTGCCTGTCTCCTCCGTCTGGGGAGCGGTGAGTGAAGCCGCAGACTGGTCCTCAGCCACAGACGTGGCAAAGGAAGAAAGCTTGTCGCACTCAGTGATGGAGGTCGCTGAAGACACGTGCTCCTCTTCAGCCAAAGGGGCGGCCACTATGTTGGGGGGATAGGTGAGTTCAGTCTCTGGTGCTCCGTAGCCTTTGCTGGAGGTGACAGGAACAACACTCTCTGCAGGCGGACTGACCTCAAAGGGGCCGGGCTCTTCAGGCCCAGGGAGATCATAAGCATTGGTAGGAAATCTAGGAGGAGCTGGGCGCTCCTCCGGCTCATCGTGGATCTCCTCATCTGAGATGGTCTGCTCCGTCTCTGAGTAACCAGGGATCGTCTCATCCTGGATGTAAGAGACATGCTCAGTGGCTCCAGCAGGTGTGGTCAAGTTGCTTAGGAATGATGAGGTCTCCTTCTCAGGAGCCTTGCCCTGGAGTCCCAGTTCCCGGCCCCCAACAGCCTCCCTGAGCCTTGGAGCTACCTTCAAAGCTTCCTGCATATGTTTTTGGTAAAAGCTCTCAGCCTTTGTCTCTTCCTCTTCCTCTTCCTCTGAAGGGTGTAATTCCTCCATTTCTTCTAATTCAGCCTTCTCTATCACATCCTCCTTTACCTCAGGCTCGCTTTCCTCTCTGGCTTCTGTTCGATCAGGGAGGCTTTCTGTGTCCTTCTGCTTCTTTTCTTCCCACGTGTCTTTCTCTTTCTCTGTCTCAACCCCAAAGTTTGTGCTTCTGTCCTTGCTGCCTTGTCCCTCAGGGATGTTTGGTACAACCTCTTTCTCTTTTATCAAAGGCTCTTCTTGTTCCAGCCCTGGGGCAGAGGGTGATGTCCCCTGGGCAGCTGGGCTTGGGAGTCCCTCCTGTGCCGGGTCTGCAAGGAAAGATTTCTCTCCTAGTCCTGTGTCCCTTTGTTCAGCCAGTAACCTCCTCTCCTCACGTTTCATCTCCTCAAAGTCCTGTGTGAGGTCCTCTGGTGAGGACAGGGCCAGCTCCCTGTGCCCACTGACTGTTGGAAGTGGCACAGCCCCCTTCTGGGCTGGGGGTGTCCGCGGCTCAGAAGGCAGCTCCTTCTCCCCACGGGCAGCCCGGCTCCTGTCCATCTTGACTCTGCCAGGAGCCTTGGCTTTGTAGAGGGTCTTACGTACCTCAGGGGTAAAGGGCTTCAGGTCTGGCTTGGAAATCTTCTTGACCTCAGGTTTGATGTCTTTCCTCTTCTCCTCTTTCTTGGCATCCTTCTTCTCCTCCTTCCTTCCTTCATCTTTCTTGAGCTCCTTCCTCTCCTTCTTGATCTCCTTTTTCTCTTTGTCCTTTTTCTCTTCCAGCTTTGATATTTTTTCTTTCAGGTGCTTCTTCCCCACCTTGTCTTTGATCAGCTTTCGCTTCTCTGCCTTTAACGCCTCGCTCGACTCTGTCCTCACCCTTTCAGGCTTGGCAGGCTTCTCTGGGGGCTTTTCAGAGGACTCCTTTGCCTTCTTCTCTGTCTTGGCTAACTCCTTGGCCAGTTCTGAGCGGGCCTCCTTGGCTCCCTCTTCAGCCACTTCCTCCCGTTTGGCCAGCTTGCTCACTGCCGCCTTAGTAGTGGCCTTGAGGCTCTCCTTGCTGTCAGCCCGCTGTTTTATTTTGCTGGGCTTGAGGTTGGCAGGCACGGCCCCAGCCGCCAGGTCCTTCTGTGTGGCCACAGGGTAGCGTAGGAAGTCCAAGTGCCTGAGTTTTTCCAGGCCCTCCAAAATCTTATTCTGGGGAGCGTTTCCCGGAAAAAGCACACGCACAATCTTCTCCGTGGGGTTGGCTGGCAGCCAGACCACCAGAGCAGTGATAGAGGTCAGGTAGGGCACCGAGATCTCAGCCTCTTTTCCATTGGACAGGACGATGCCTGTCTTAGCTTTGCTATTGCCTGCCCACTTCTGCATAAGGAACTGCATCTCCTTGCTGTCCTTGACAGGGTTGAGGACGTACATGTCGAGCCGACCCACACCCATCTTGTGGAAGAGGGTCAGCGGCTCAATGGTGTTGCTGACCACGCGGTACAGAGGCTCGGCCTGGATGCCCAGGCGGTTTAGGTGCTGCAGGGTGAGGCAGGCCTCCTCGATGCTGCGCTTGGCCTTCCGGGAGGCATCAGGCAGCCGCAGCTTGTCCGGTACGTTGAAGAAGACAACCCCAAGCTCAGGGGAGATGAGGTTCTTCACCCAGTCGCTGTAGCTGCTGGAGCCCTGGGACTGCTCCTCCTCCAGCTCTGCCACTTTGCGCTGCAGGAGGCCATTGATGCCTGGCAGGTTGTCTGCCCCGATGTGCGTGAGCAGCACCGAGTCAATGCGGTCCAGGTGCCGCACCAGCTTCCAGAAGCAGGATTTGCGATCGGAGCCACCGTCCACTAGGATGTTGAAACCATTGACGGCAAAAAGGGCAGAGTCCCCGCGGCCGCCAGGGAAGATGTAGCAGCAAGGTTTGGAGAGCTTGAGGAAGCCCCCCGAGGTGGGGGGCTCCAGCAGGTCAAAGGGGGATGGCACGTCCACGGTCTCAGAGACATACTCGGAGAACTCGGCCACACCATCCATGGCGGGCAGCGTGGGCTCAGGGTTTAGCCGGAGATGCAGGGTCTCTTGGGAACTGGATAGTCCCAGGTGGCTCCAATCACCCTCCCCTAAGCAGGATACGGTGAGGAAGGCCTGGATCCCGGGGTCTCTATTGCTGAGCAACTGGGCAATCTAGAGCAATGGGAGACAGAAGGCTGATCAGGTCCCTGGGGTTGACTCAGATTCAGTCTGCTAATCTCCACCACTCTCCAGGGGATCTCCTGCCTCGCTGCCAGGACCACTGATGATCGTGCAATGAGATTTTCCTTCCCCACAGCTCTCGTCCTATCCCATACGCGCCGTTCCGCCCAGGCACGCGGGCGCGGGACATACCTCTGGGTTGTGAAGAACCTGGACAAAGTTTTGGTAGGAGTAGGTACCACTCTGTAGGATGAGGTCTCCCCCTGGCTCTAAACTCTGCCCGCTCAAGATCAGTAGCTTGTGAGCTGATGGGCTGCTAAGTAGATGGTGAACCTAGAATGGAAGGAGGAGGGTGGTCACTGAGGTAGGAAACCCAGGGGAGGGCGCTGAGTGCTCCTGGTTTCTCCTCAGGGCTGCAGGGACAGGCTCCCCGCGGGTTGCCCCACGGCACCTCCCTCGGAGCAGGAGATTGTAAGGCAGCTTAGATGGCAGAGAAAGGATGATTCAAAGCCAAGTCCAGGAATTCTTGGCTTCGCAGCCGGAGCTCTGGCAAGGGTGAGTTACAGCGCTTTCAAACCAGGCCCGCGTGGCAAGGCGCAGGCCCTGGCCTTACCTCAGAGCTGATGCTGTCAGCACTCGGGTTTACCAGGATGACGGTCTCTAGGGTTTCACTCTGGTGGCAGAGGGTCCTCTGGCCTGAGGGAGAGATGCAGGGATTTGTATTGAAGAGAGCGGGTATAGATTAAAACAGAGGGGCATTGTGCTGGGCAGGAGAGAAAAGAAGGCGCTATCAGGAAACGCGGATTAAGAGAAAGAGAAGCCTGGCTACCCCAAGATCCTGCCACTTCGGATACTGCTGAGTGAAGTCAAGGGACTGGCTCCTCCAGCCCTTCCCTCCCAGGCTTTCCCCCAACCCTCTTCCACACAGCCATCTTCTCCCCCCTCCACCTGCCACACCCTCTGCCTGGAACTCCCGCCTAAGACCGCCCTGTTGACAAGAAGCTTTTGTCCCTCCAGAGCACCAAGCTCCTGGTGCTGCCTGGGGATGGGGGAGGGATGGGCTCAGCTGGAGGGAGGACTTCTGGGACATGATCCTCAGCTCCCCTCTCGCCAGCAGGGTCTGCCTTGGGTTTGTGCCAGCAGAGTGCCAGCAGGAAATAGGGAAATGGGCACTTCTGTGCACTGTCTTAGGCTCCCCATCTTCCTTTCCAACACCCATCCGAGGCTGGAATTTCCATTCCAAAAGACTGGATAGAAGGCTGATAGGACTCCAGCCTGGGCCTGGCTCAGTGTTTGAGGGTGGACCCAAGAACAGGAGGTCACAGTTTCAAGTCCTGATCAGGGCACATGTCTGGGTTGAGGGTTCACTCCCCGGTGGGGTTGTGCAGGAGGCAGCCAATCAGTAATTTTCTCTTATCAATGATGTTTCTCTCTCTCCCTTTTACTTCCTCTCTGAAATCAATAAAAACATAAAGAAAAAGAAATAGGGTTCTAACCTCTTGTTCTCTAACTTCTCGTTCTGTTCTCCGGTTTCTCAGCGTGCATCCAATCATATTGTTCCCACCTCACCTTCACGGCCCCAGGCTCGGGTTCAGAGAGGCCAGGTTCACTGCCCTACAGCCCCTCCCCTGTGAACAGTTTCTCCTCTCATCCTTGCCCTTCTGCTATGAGAGCTTCCGCCGAGGAGAGGGGAGTTAGTGGTTCACAAATTGGAAACAAAGGAGGAAAGCCTCGGGGTTATAAGACACCTTCAAATCCCCCACCCACTGCCGTTCTCCAGGCTCACATGGAACACCACGCAACGCAGCAAAGAAAGCGGCTGCCCTGCCCTGCGCCTGCCCTTGCCAATGGCAGCCCCGAGGCTACCTTCCCGAGAGGTAAAGAGAGGGCCTGGGGAGTGGGCTGTCGGGAGGATATTTTGTGAGGCTCAGTCTTCTACTGATTCTCTTCTGTGACTTGGCTCTTTCTTCTTCCTGGGGCTTCAGACAAGAGGGACTTGGGGCCAGGGCCTTTGCTGTGGAAGCCCTTGGTGTCAGGATCGGGCAGACCCGGCAGAAAGGGGCTGCAGTTGCAGCTGCAGAGGAAGTTAACTATGGGGGGGGGGGGGGGTCACAAGATCAACCCCATACAGGGCGGGTGGGGCCCAAGAGGAGTTGGGGCGTTCTCTTTTCTTCACCTGGGAACGGAGGGAAGCTTTGAGGTCAGTTCAGAGGGAGACAGGGGCAGGGCTGGGGCGGGTGAGGAATATCGTGGTCTAGGAAGCAACTGGTCCTAGGCTAGCTCTACGTAGTTGAGGTTTAAAAGGGCCATTCTTACCCCCACCTCCCTCGTACACACCACAAGGTTGCACATTTGAGCTAGGAAACCCAGAAAAAGAAATATCTGTGGTATAGACTGGTTTGCTTCCTAGCTATCAACCCCCCTCCCAATCCGTCATTCCTTGTAGCCCCCGGTATATGACCGCTAGACTTCTCTGATCCCAGTTCCTGTGGGCCCACGGCCCTCTCCCTCACTCCAGTGCCCTCCAGTTCTGACTGGCAACTACGCAGTCCGCATCCCGGCCCCTCCTTCTGAGGCCCCGGAGCGAACGCTGTTTCCTTTTCTGCTCCCCTAGCGATCCCCCCAAAGGGAATGGGCTTGTTTTCCCTTTCTCCCCCAGAGAGGTCTTCTTGTGAGTCAGGGGCCCTTCTGTGGGCCAGGGGTGGGTGAGTGCGGGTGAGGCTGGGCCGGCGGAGGGCAGGTGCCTCCGCAGTGCGGGGAGGAGGGAGCCGGGCAGCTGCAGTTTGCCGCAGTGTGTGAGTGTGTGCGTGTGCGCGCTGAGCTCAGGCTCCGCTCCGCCCCCGCCCACCCCACCCCGCCCCCACCCAGCATGACAAGTCATTTTCCTCACTGCCTCTGCATGGTGGGGGGGAGAGGGGGAGCTGTCGGAAGTGGGGTACGAAAACCGGGAGGGGAGAAAAAGCTGGCTCCTCTGATCCAGAGCCCCCATCTTGGGAAGAGGAGCAGAGAGGGGGCGGGGGTGGGGGTGGGGGAGGGGGTGGGGTGGGGCTGGGACCCGGAGCCGGTGCGGATGACAGGATGGGAATGCAGGGCAGCTGCTCGGGAGGGAACCGCTTAATCTCCGGAGTGGCCTCTCGGTCTCCAGAGGGAGCCAGAAAGGGGTGGGAGGCTCAGAGCCCCAACCTCCAGCCAGCCGCAGGGTAAGGGGTGCGGGAACCCACCGCAAATAGGTCCATCTGGGAAGAGGCGCACCATGTCTCGGTGACCCTTTCCTCCCTCCTTTCCCCCCGCGTTCCCCGCCTTCCCTTAACAGGCAAAGGCTCGCCGTCCCGCTCGCCCCGACCTAGGAGCAGCTGAGCGACCCAGCAGCTGACACCCAGACACCCTCCGATTGGGGACATTCCCATGACATCCGCCTTCCCCTCAGATTCCCCTGCCTCTGACCAAAGACACGGCCCCAAACTCTCCCAGCGCCGGGCTGCCGGGCGGAGCCAGGGACACCACCCTCCGCGGCCGCCGGAGACTGATGCCTCCCCGCCCGGCCTGGGCGGTCACTGTCCCCGGCCTGGCCTCCTGGGCCTCGGCCTGGTTCTGGGTCCAGGCTGGCCTCAGGGCCAGCAATGTTCAGCTACCTCCATTCCCTCACACCGCCCACCCCCGCTGGACCAGTTCCAGACACATCAGAGAGGCAGGAACTCTCTTCCCGTTATCCCCATCCCACCTCCCCATCACAGCGCCCCGTTCCTCCGGCCAGGCCCTTCGCTGCTTACCCTGGCTGCGAGAGGGAGCCCCTCACGGAGGCTGCAGCTCCGGCCTCAGCCGGCAGCTTCAGGGAAGAGTCTGCGGCACTTGGGGTGGGAATGGGGGGGGGGCGCTAGATGGGGAGGGCGGTGCCAGGGCGGGGAAGAGGGGCTGGTCCATGACGAGGCACTGGAGACTTAACTGTTTCTGTGCCTTTACAGTGTCAGTGCCCTGGTGCCTCTCCCGTGGCTCTTGAGGGGTCTGAAGAGCTGTCTAGCAGCTCAAAGAGGCGGGTGGTCTCCCGCGGCCCACAGAACCCTTCTCCCCAATCCTGCTCAGTCAGGAAATGCTCTTTGAGCATCAGCCAAACGACCAAAGCCCTGTGCTCTGCACCACTGTGGGGGACAGAGGAGGCATGGGCTGCCTGCCCCGCCCCCTTCTCTCAGGAGCCATCTGCTGCCTCTCTCCTCAGACCCTGGGAATGACCTTCCATCCCAGGAGAGCGGGAGACAAAGGGGCTGGGGGCCTGGACGCACAGGGTAGGAGTGAGGGGACTGCTTGAGATGAAGGCTGGGGAGCAGAGTCGTACTGTGCTCTGTCAGTGGCTTCTGAGCCACAGCTACAGAAACCAGGGAGGGCAGAAATAGATATCATTTTAGGGTGGAGGGTAGTTCGAAATTCTGGAGCGAACACGTGGACCTAGACAATCTGGGGTGGGGCACAGGAACCCTAGGAACATGCAATTTTCTGCACTTTTCTATGTCTCTTTGATGTCTCTGTCTTATACTACCTTAAGCCTTCTAATACTGGCTCTGTTTCCCTTAGTCTCTGCCTCTGTCTCAGAGTTAGTGACAGAGGATTCAAAGGGAGGAGCGGGAGCTTCCTAGCACTCAGTTCCAACCTGGTGATGCTCACGCTCCCACAGTGTCCTTCCCCGCCTTCTCCCTTCCCATCAGCCTTCCCCAGGCCTGGCCAACGCCTGATGCCTTCTTCACACTGGCATCCGCCCACTCAGCCCAGCACCAGCCACACCCTTGCCCCAGGCTGCCAAGAATTGCTTTTGAAGGTCAGAGAAGCCAAAATAGTCTCTGCTCTCAGCATCCCCATCCCCTGTAAACTGCAGCCAGTGGCTGTGGCGTAGAGGAGGCGCTGAGTCACCCGTGCTGGGGAGGGGAGGGGGAGACAAAGGAGGAGGTATCTTTGCTCAGATCCGGGGATGCAAAGCAACAGCATGGCAACAGCCCCGCTTGGCTGGAGGAAGCCATCTGCAGAGATACAGAACACAAATCAGGCTGAGCTCCGAGCATCACAAAAGGGGAACACATCCCTTCTACAGCTTCATGCTTATTTCCTCCCATCTCAAACCTCCTACCTTCTCTCTGCTTTCTAGGGCCCTTTGGGATGGGCTAAGAGGGAGACTTGAGTAGATATTGGCTTGAGAACAAGATCACATTTCCCACCCCGGTGCAGAGCCCACCCTTATTCTCAGCTGCTATCCCTAAGGACCACACCCTGGGCCTGGTTTCAACTCACAGTGGAGTTTTCCCTCAGCCCTCACCCTCTGAACAGCCGTCCACCAGAACCAATCCTTCACCTGCTGTGCTCTGCTGCAATGAAATTGTGAGGTGCCTGAGCTCAGACACAAAGAGACATCCAAAGTCCTGGATTTGAGACCTGACTCTACTGTTTTATTAATCATGCAATTAAATGTCAATTAACCTCCCTGAAAGCTTGCTTTCACTATAAAGCGAGTTTAACATTAGTGCCACTCTCTAAAAATGCTGTGAGGAGTGTACAAAAGATCTGAAAGTGCTTCTTCCTTAGAATCCTAAACCTGCCGTGCACAAATACCCCTGGAAATCTGTCTCTCTTTTGTAGAAGATTTATGAGGGGTCATCTAGGTCATCAGGGAAAACCTAAATCAGAATCTCAAGCCAGACGAACTCTAGAGAGTACCCTTAGCTCTCCAGGTAAACCCAGTACTGGAAGCGCCTTCAGGAAAGGCTTCAAGTTCTCTTCATGTCCCTCCTTTCCCATTCTAGGCAGCAAGGCAAGCCCCAGCTGTAGATGACAATGAGCTGCTCTGCTAATTCAGAATGGCGTTCACTGAAGGTAACAGAACTAGCACTGTCAGCGGTACTGGAGAGTCAGACAGAAGACCTCCACACTGGCCCTTCAGCCTGTGTGTCTTCGAGCCCAGAATATCATCATGAATTATATATTATGAAGTCCTCTCCCTTCCCTATAGGTGGCCGAGGGTAGAAGTATCAGAGTGTTATTCAAGCTCAGTTTTCCACTGTCCTAACTGTTTCCGGGTTTGCTTTATAATGCTTGGAAGCCCCAGCATTTTGCAGGGTTAGAAAGGAAGGCTCCAAGTCACCATTGGAGACTGACTACCCAAAATTCACCTAGCAAATCATTACCAGATTTGACCACTAGAAGGAGCTGGACCACTGACTCAACTTCAGAGGGTCCCTCCTTTTCCCAGTATGGAGAGTGTGCAGGGGGAGGTGGCTAGGAATGATTGTGCTCTCCTTGTCATTGCAGGGTATATTTTTGTCCCTTTTAAAGCATTTTGGCAGAGGGCTTAAGCAGAGGTGAGAAGGATGGCAGTCCAGCTTCCAGGGTAGTCTGAAAGGATTAAGTCATAAGGGACTAGCATATGCCCTTGAGCCCATCCTAGCAGCCTGGCTCCCTTTGCCTCCCCATTGAAGGGAGGCTGAAGGGTGGGCCAGTGTCTGCAGCTGCTGTAGGCTGACTGTTTGTGGGGACAGCTGAAAGAGGAGCCAGCAGGGGTGGGGCTGTGGCTGTCTTCAGCCATGTGGGTTTTTCCAGGAAATTCTCTACTATTCTCCAGGGACATAAACCAGGCCACCAAAAAATAAAAAATAAGAAATAAAAGTAAAAATGTCCAAACCTAAAAACATTCAGTAGGTTAAAGTAAGCCCTAGTCTTCGGCGTATGGCCCTAACCCCTAAGGACACCACAGTATAACTCTTTGATTGAAAAGATCTAGTTGCCAATGGACACAAAACTCTGGGGAGGCAGGGTCTGAAGGGAGGGGGGGAATGGTAAGATATGTACACAGATAATAATTTAATTTTAAAAATCTAAAAAAAAAGAAAAGATCTAGTTGGTGTTTACATATCAGCACTTGTTTAGTGAGAGTAATATGCATCTCCCTGTAAGCATATTCCCAAGCATCCTCGCATCTTAATTTAAAAAATGGCTAAATATTTTGGTTTAAGTTCTATACATTCATACATCACTCCAGAAAGCAGCCTAATCTTAAGTCTCTGTGGCCAAAAGGACGGGATTAGAGAATTCAGTGTACATTATTAACATCAGCAGTTATTCCTCAAACTTCAATTCAATCATTAATTTCATCTGTTATCATGCCTCTATCCAATTTTGCACCCAAGCTCCTAGGAGTAATAAGTGGTAAAACTACTGATTTTCAATCAATCCGTGCTAAACAGAAGGCAGTCTTAAAACAGTGAGCATCTAGCTTCACAGAAAGCAGTCACATCAAGAAAATGCCAGCCCCACATTTTTTAAATGCTGCACATATTCCTAGGATAATAAAGTATTAATCATATTCACCTTGTCTTCTCTCTCTGGTAGCATCTTTAGAGAAGTCAGTGCTCAGGGAAATGACCAAAGGTGTGGCAGTTAGCAGGAGGAGCGGGAAGAGAAGGGGACGTGACTATGTTCTATACTGAATAATTGAGAACAATCTATATATATAAGATACGAATTCAGTCATCTTATGCAGTAACTGTTGAGCTGGATGGATTTTTATAGTCCATGAAGGCACTGGTGCATGGAGTGGTATGTCAACATTTACCAACAAGAGGACCAGAATGCCCAGCACTTTTATAATGTGATGCAGAGCTTTCTGAAGTCTTCCCACAGATACTATCATGGACTGATAGCTCCTAAAATATTATTTTTTCAAATACCTGACCATTTCTCCCACCCATCAGGATGGGGAATTGCACGCTGTGCACTTTGATCTCAGAGTCACACCTCAAAGTAGCAATAAATGCAGGAGACCCTGCTTCTACTCTGGGTTTGATGGTGCTCATCAGCCTTTTGTACCAGATTTCTGCTCTGCTCTGGAGATCTGTTGCCTGAACCAAAGGAGAAACCAGAAACCCTGAAACCGGAAGAGTAGGCTGTGCAGTCTGAGGGAAGTTCTAAGCAAGGATCTTGAAGGCAAGTGGGGGATCAAGGTTCTCTGTAAAGGGAGCAAGAGGCTGGGGTACACAGAGAGGGGGACACGAAAAGGAAAGTGAGCCAAAACCTGTTTAGCTCAGTGGATATAGCATCGGTCTGCGGACTGAAGGGTCCCGGTTCAATTCCGATCAAGGGCATTCATTACCTTGGTTGAGGGCACATCCCCAGTAGTAGGGGGTGTGCAAGAGGCAGCTGGTCGATGTTTCTCTCTCATCGACGTTTCTAGCTCTCTATCCCTCTCCCTCCCTCTCTGTGGAAAAATCAATAAAATATATATTTTAAAAAAAGAAAAAAAGAAGAAAAGGAAAGTGAATTTGTGCATGGAAGATGATTGGTCATTCATGGGAAGTGCGTTGTTTCCTTAGTGCTCGTCAACAGCTGTCCATTAGCCACCCTCAGGTAGAAATTACATTCTCCAGGCTTCTTCCACCTTCATACCATCTCTCTGAGACGTGTACTGGATATGTGGGATTGGTTATGGAGCTTTACAACTTTCCCCTGAGGAATCCTTCCCTCCTTCCCCACCCAAATCTCCCACGAGGCCAGGGAGAGTGGATCTCTGCTCCTCAGTGACCAGCCCTCACCCAAAGAACTGAGACAAATGACACTAGTCCTAACCTTTGACCTCTGAAGAGAAGTGAGCTAGGTGCCGGGTAATGAAGAGTCTCAGTTGTTGGTTCAAATCAAAGGATGATAAGTCAATGTTCCAGGAGAGAATCCCTGTGAGAGAAAAAGAGACAAAGAGCACTCTAGGTAAGGTCAGAGGGGCTGGCTGCAGGGAGCACTTGCAGGCTCACAAGAGGGGTAAGGAGCAGGAGAGGGTAAGGACAGCTGCCATGATCAGCCACACAGACATCTTTAAGAAAGGTAGTTAGTGCCTGTGTCCGTCTCCCATCCTTTCTTGGCCTTTGCCTGAGCCAGAGGGAGAGGGGCAGAGTTTAGGCTAAACTTGATCATTAATGAGTTTGTATGTAGCAATTTTCTTGCAGAATTGCCCCAAGGGACTATTCCTAGATACCAGGGGCTGCCTTCCCTGTCCTTATAGCTAAGTAGGATTCTGGACTCTCTTTCTACTCCCCCCCCCCCTCCTCCCTCCACCCCTTGCAGGCTTGCTTCCACCCGCAGGTGGCTCCGCAGCACTGCGCCACTGGCTGTCAACTAGTCAGGGAGGTGAGGACTGAGAGCTGGCGGCCACAAAGGTCACTCTCTCAGGTTGGCCGCCCACACTGTGGGATTTGAGATTTGTCCGCAGCGTTCAGAAAGCTCCCTGTGCTTGTTCAGGGATCCTGAAGAAGAAGCTAAGGTAGGGACATGGAATCTTCAGGGGGAAGGACATCTGGACCGAGGCACTGAGGGAGAGAGGGTGTGACCAGAGCGGACCCAGGGGGCTGCGACAGAGCTAACCCCGACTCAGGGAGATTGAGGAATGCCACGGGGTGTGCAGGAGGATGGGGAAGCAAGATGTTGGCAGGTGGGAGGACGCATGACATGGAAGATGCAGGTGACAGGGGCTGATGATTGAGATGAACAGGACGCGCGGATTTCTGGAATTGCACGGTAGGGATGGAGAATGCAGACATACGCTCTGGGAGATCAATGCAGCCGGCGGAGAAGCTCGGGGTGGAGGAGGATGCCCCGAGCACAGCCAGGACAGCGGCTCACCTTGCTCTAGGTGGGCCCGCACGGCCCTCAGCTGACTCTCCGTGCCGATGTCGCCGATCACGATGAGCAGCGAGTGTCTCCGCGGGTCCCAGCGGGCAGCCGCCGCGGTGGCTCCGGCTCCGGCCTCGCGCGGCGGCTCCGCGGGGCTTTGAGGCAGCAGCGAGCTGGGGCTGGGGAGCCGCAGTCCGGGACCTGTCTCCATGGTAACGCCTCGAGGCCGCCAGGGCCCAGCCTCGGTCTCCATGGAAACTCCGTGTGACTGCCAGGCCGGCAGCATCCGCCGCAGGGAGAGGGCGCGCGGTTCTTAAAGGCCGGCGGCGGGGGCTGCTCATTGGCTGCTGGCCGTCAGGGGGCGGGGCATCGGCGCCGCAGGGGCCGGGCTAGTGCCCGGATGCTCCGGCTCTGCGGCTGCCGCGCTCGGCCAGGGGCGGGGAGCGGGTGGCCGCCCCTCTCCTCTCGGGCTGGGTCTCCTGAGGGCGCTCCCACTCCGACTGGGGCCCGGGTGGGGGTTCTGAGCCGGGGCCTGGGGGAGGGATGAGTCGGTTGCCTGAGTGACGGGAGAAGCTTCTAGCTAGGACGTTTCCCTAGAAGCGCTGCCTGGCCACTCCGCGCCTCGCCAGGCCTGAGGGAGCCATCTTGTCCCCCTGTCACCGTTTTGTATCGCGTCTCCATCGGTGTCGGTGTGTCTGTGTTGCCATTGTCTGGCAGGTTTCTTTTTTGTTTGTTTGTCTTTCTGTCTGTGCCTGCCCGGGCCTTAGCCTCCATCCTCGGCTGCCCCGCCCTCCCTGCCCCGGGCCCTGGGAGAGCTCGGGAAGGCCGCGCGGTGCTGGCGGGACGGAGTGACCTTCCGGCCCCGAGTCCCCGGTGAGTGTTCCTCCCAAGACAGTGGCTGGCCGGGCTCCATCCGCGCTGAGCGCTGTGAGCTCAGCCTGCAGCCCGCAGGATGCGGGCAGAACCCAGGGGAGACCTTGCCAACTGCAGGCTCTGTGTGTGTGACTCCGTGGGTTGAGCCACCTTGGGGATCGTTACTCTCCCAGGGAATTGTGTTTGAGCCCAAGAGAGGAGGTTGAGCCTTCCAGAAACCAAAGACCCAGGGGAGGGGGAAGAGGACGTAAGGAGGCTGGCGCAGTTTTGTGACTGACAGGAACATCCTTGTAAAAATGGTGCTGTAAGCCTACCCTCACCCATCATCCCTCGTCGTGTCTCCACCACCTACTCCGCACTCCAGCTTTTTACAAACAGTAAACATGTACAGTGAACTATTCGGTACATTTTGTGTCAGACAGAGAGCCTGTCTCTCACCCTAGCACTCCCAGCAGCATTGTTTGGGTCCCGTTTGGGAGATGGTACTGGGTAGAAAGCAGCACATTACCGGATCCAGCAAGGCTGCCTATGAGCGCAGTGTGATCCACTGCCTCTCTGCAGGCCCGGAGGAGGACTGGTCAGTGTCTGCATGTTCAATGCCTCACAGCAAACCTGTTCCCTAGCATGGGGCATGGAGCAAAATAGAACGTTGCACCATCAATGTAGACATGACCCTACCTGAAACTAATATAATATTGTATATCAATTATATCTCAGAAAGAAATGGGAGATGGCCTTGAAAATCCTTTTTTTGTGTGTCGGAGAGGGAGAAATAGGACTGGTGGAACCCTGGCCCGTGTGGCTCAGTTGGTCAGGCATTATTATTCAGTGTACTGAAAGGTTGGATTCCCTGTCAGGGTACATGCCAGGATTGCGGGCTCCATCGATGTTTCCCTCTCACATTGATGTTTCTCTCTCTCTTTTCCTCTATCTCTAAAAATAAATTTTTAAAAAATCTTTTTGTTTTTAAAGAAAGTATTAAAAGAAAAAAAAAGAGAAAAAAAAATAAAGAAAGTATTGGCAGAACATCAGATGGTGGTGTTGCCTCACCTTACATAACACGTAAGATACTGTTCTGCTACACCTTTTGAAGATTCTAATCAGAGAAGAGTGTCAGGAGAGGAAAAGGACAGTTTCCATAGCAACTGTAGAGATGAAGTCTTTAGCTGGTACCAGGTCTCAGTGTAAGGGTCAGCAGCAGTTAACGACAGGTTCTGCTCTCATCAAGTCTGACAGGTTAGACCATAGATTGAATGGCATAGGGAAGGACCATGCACCAATCTGATGGTAGAGGCAAAATGCAGGCCTACAATCTCAGGCCCTGCTAGAATTGGGTTTTAATTAGAGCTGCAAATTCAGTCTAATGGTACTAATATTGCACACATATAACTGAGTGGTGTTCATCAGGCTCTTTTGCCAAAGGCAGACAATGTCATAGATTGGCTATAGGTATCTCTTAATTACCCCCCACTCTTTCCTGGTGTAGCAGCATCCCAGCCATTGGGTAATGATGCCAGTATCATCATAATATCAGAAAATATTTTCAGCCCTAGCTGGTTTGGCTCAGTGGATAGAGCGTCAGCCTACAGACTGAAAGGTCTTAGTTCAAGTCCAATCAAGGGTACATGCCCAGGTTGAAAGCTTGATCCCCAGTGTAGGGCATACAAGAGGCAGCCAATCGACTATCATCATTGATGTTTCTATCTCTCCCTCTCCTCTGAAATCAATAAAAATATTTTTTTAAAAGAGAATATTTTCAAGTGTCAAATGGCACAAAGCACTGAATAAAGTGTTCTAGAAAACTATGTAGTGTTAGCATCTATGCTCCAGAATTTTACAACTGAAGACAGAAAACACTGATGTGCATGTGTATAAAGAAATATATTTATATTTATATATGAATTACAACATATATGAAAACTTATTTTGAATTTAGGAATAGTGTGCTGTGGCAGGAGCCTTAACATTATTCAAGGGCCTACCTGTGGGGACTATTCAGAAAATGTGATATGCATTATGTCAGGCACATACAGTAGTATGTAGTATAGAGTCCACTGTAGTGTTTGATTTTAACTGTTGACTCCTAGACTGTTCAGTTATGATTTTTGGGGGGAATTCTCCTATTCTAGTTTTTTCCATACTCTTGCCATGCAGCATTGGCAGATATAGTGGTTACAACCAATGCTTTTCACTGTTTGTGATAAAGAATCCTTGAATTGTGGAAGGAGTCTCTAAGGACCTGCCACTAAAAGAGGTTAGAGGACATGCACAGGAAGGCAATATTATAGGCTGGTTTCTTGGGCATGCAATGGAGTGGGCACAAAGCAGAAGGTAGTCTCACATAAAAGGTAATGGTAGCCTTGGCTAAGTTTAAACTAGTTAGGTGAGTCTCAGTCCCCAAACCTTCATCAGTTTATAATATACTATTATATATAATAAAGTAATATGCAAATTGACTCTCACACTCTCATAAGATGGCTGCCTATGACCAGGCCAGCAGTGGGGTTAGTGAGGGGTGACCAAACTACTGAACAAGCAGGCTTTGTGGGGCGATCAGGCCAGGGGTGGGGGTAGGGGGCAGTGAGGGATGATCAGGCAGGCAGGGAGGAGCAATTAGGGGTTACCAGGGAGGCAGGCAGGTGTGATTAGGAGCCAGCAGCCCAAGATTGTGTGAGGGATGTCCAACTGCTGGTTTAGGCCTAAACCAGGAGTTTGACATCCCCTGAGGGTTGTCAGATTGGAGAGGGTGCAGGCTGGAATGAGAGGACCCTTGCCCCATGCACAAATTTCATGCACTGGGCCTCTAGTATAGTGATAAATTACCCAGTAGGTAAATTATGCACATCTTAACAAAGTAGGAGAGGGAATAACAAGTGGATGTGGAGAAAAGAAGAAAAGAGAACCCTGGTACACTATTGGTGGGAATGTAACCACTGTAGGAAATGGTATAGAGGGTCCTCAAAAAATTAAAAATACAACTACTGGAGGATCTAATTATTCCACTTTTGGGATATTTACCCAAAGAAAATGAAAACAGTAATTTGAGAAGATACATACACTGTCAGTTTCATTGCAGCATTATTTACAATAGCTAAGATATGGAAACAACCTAAGAGTCCATCCATAGATGAATGAATAAAGAAGATGTGGTATGTACTCTGTACAATGGAATATTACTCAGTAATAAAAAATGAAATCTTACATTTGTGACAACATGAATGGAACTAGAGGGTGTTATACTAAGTAAAACAAATCAGACATATATGATTTCATTTATATGTGAATCTAAAAAACAAACGAACAAAACAAACTCAGATTCAGAGAATTGATTGGTGATTATCAGAAGGGTAGGGGAAGGGGAGGCGAAATGGATGAAGAGAATTGTGTAGTGATGGATGGTAATCAGATGTATTGTGGTGATAACTTTGTTGTGTTTACAAAGGTGGAATTGCTATGTAGTAAACAAGAAACTAATATGATGCTATTTATCAAAGTATGAGGGGCATCTCTAAATTTTTTCTGGAAATAATTTAATATTTGCATTTAAATTAAATTATTGAAGTTGTCCTCATGAGAAAAATAAGAACTTTACTGAAATTAATTGTGCTCACCTTGGAATTATGTGTGTGAGAGTGTGGAGGGCAACATAATCATTTTAATGTGGAGGTTCTTCATAGGACTTAGGCCAGCTCTGAAAATTCATAAAGAAAAGATATTGGCTTCTCCCTTACTTCTAGACCCATGAATGCCATTAGTTTTTTGGGGGGATCTGAGTTTCTTTGGTAGAATTCCAGCCTGCTCTGCTGGATTGCATGGTCTTATCAAATAAAATATCCGAAAGAGCTGTATGCAGCTCAGATTCCCACCCTGTACTCAGTTCTGCCTATAAAGCATTCTTTATACAGAAAGAGGAGTGTTGGATTACAGGATTGCTGTGTCAGAGGCTATCCTTGGCTTTTGGGCAAAATACTATGATCATAATGTATACCAGCAGCCATAAGGTCACCTCTTAGCAGGAACAGCTGGTTTTTATCTTCAAGGGCACCGAGTAAAGTAACTTCTAAAAAGGCAGTAAAATAATCTCTAAAAATATTGAGATGGGAGAGAAGTCTGCATTTATTACTATGTCTGGCACACTGAGGAGGGATTTGTTGGATAATTTTCCTAATTATTATTTGTTCACATTAAGTAATGGGAAGAGCAAAGGCACTGGATTTACTCCCTTCCTCCTAGTCTTTCCCTCCCCCCCCCCCCCCCCCAAAGCATTGCAAAGGACAATAAAGAAATTTCCTTTGCTCTTGCTGGTAGCTCAGTTGGTTGGAGCATTGTTCTGATGTGCCAAGATTGAGGGTCAGTCTCAGGTTAGGACACATACAAGGATCAACCAATGAATGCATAAATAAGTGGAACAAGAAATTGATGTTTCTCTCTCCTTCCTTCCCTTCCTTTCTTCCTCTATTTCCCTCCCTCCTTCCTCCCCTCAATAAATAGAAAAAAAGAAATTTCCCTTTTATCCTTCCTCCCTCCTCACATTTTTCTTTTTAAGAAAGTGATTACTAAAAGTGAAAAAGAAACATTTATGGATACCACTTTCCCTTATCCATTCCATTTCCCTGTGAGATGGAAGTTAGTGTTTGGCTGTAGTCTCTGATTCCATCTTTTCCCTTATTCTGAACAAAGCTACTTATTAGTGCAGGGATCACTAAGGATTTTCTTATAGTGAAGATCATGGTAGTAAAGGGAGTCTAAATCTTAAGTGTATATCTTAGTTTTGAGGCCATGTCTGTGTGTGAATTAAACTTTGCATTTTTTTCAAGGTATTCAGAGAATAGAGTTACTTTCCTTCAAGGAATGTTTGGGTTAAAGAAACATCACTTTATGAATGTTCCCTTTACAATATCACTAAATCACAAATACTTTTTCTCTTCCTTCTCATTAGTTCTTTTTTTTTGAAGATTCTTCAGAACCTTTTATAACATTACCTCCTGCAAATAACTTAG